ATCCATTCAAGTTGTCAACTTATAATCCTGTTAGTTTTATCTGAAAATCTTAATTAACTGTTTTAATGTAAAAAAAACTGGAGGTCATCAAATTGAATCTCACGAATAATTATCCTAATATTTGCTTTTTATACTTTTAAGCATATTCTAGTGTTCAATGTATAAGAACGAGAATAGTAAAGTTTCTCAAATCACTCAAATACCAGTATAAGTTTGATTTTAAACGAGGTTTCTTTTAAAGAATTTACTTGAAAGTGTTACATTTTCTAATCTATGAACGAACCAATCAGATTTAAGATAAGAGGTCATAGATTTTGGCGCGAGATTCATCCACTAATCTGGTTAACATTTTATAGCATAAGACTAGCCAGCTTACCTGAAGAAATACACTGCCTTGAGTATCAGCAGCAAAAACCTAAAAAACAATGCTGAATCTAAGAAAATTTGCGCCAACATTCGGAATATTACACTAACTGCGGCATTTTAGCACACCTAAACATTAAATTATGTAGTGATTTCTATTATAAGTAACAGTCATCTCAATTATAACTGTGTAGATAATGACATTTTCTTCTTCACTTTCAAAGTTGTCTACTTGTTCTTGGATGGTACTCAGTACACTTACGAAAGCCTACAGTTATTAAAGAAAATTCAAAATATTACGGTTGGTTTAGTTTGTGAACTGATGAATACTTTTAATCAGATTTTATTACCTAAGATTCATATTAATTAAGATTAGATTTTATGTTACTAATCGGTAATAAATGATCGCATTTATTTAAATAATTCAACCAAAAACCATGTTCGTTAAATTAGCATTTTTGTTAAAACTTGTTGCTATGTACCCTATTAACGATACTGCCAATTAAAGAACAGTGAATTATCGACCGGACCAATGATGCATAAAACCCACACGACCAGTCTAGTATCTTTATAGGTCCTTCTTCCCTGCCTAATTCTACCCGTTGAGTCCAGAATACCAATCTCAGCCTCCGCGATATGAATCATGTATTTCAAACATACTGGGTTCATATACAAACCAAACAGACCACATCAAACCATAAAAGAGAAAACAACATTTGTACTAGAACTAGCCAGAAGTGGTTGTAAATGTGGGAGACTGTAATTAATAGATTGGATATAACTCAAGAAAGGTGAACTGCATAGTAATAATCTATGGATCAAAATAAAGCTTATAATAAGAGGAATATAGATATACATAACCTAGTTACTCAATCGTTATAGAATAAGAATATATGTGTAGTATTAGTTCATAAATAGATCCCAATGGTTATCATTCAATATACTCGTCGGGATATAACAGTTCGATCATGTGACGATTGTATAAATGATTATTATTGAAATATACATCCGTGCTATCCTCGTTTATAATCCTCGACTTAAATCACGTTAGTCAATAACGGAATTAAATAAGTCAAATACGAGAATTAATTTCAAATACGTGTATTTTGTATAATCGTTTATCAGAACAGGCAATCAAAGAAACGGAGCAAGGAATTGAAGAGAAGATAGCGAAGCGATATGTCGAGCAGTAGGCTCGACATAGGGTTAGCCATTACAACACTAAATAACTCCGAGTTTTGGCCATTTAGTTAATATAAAACACAGAAAAGCAAGTCACAGAGATATTAACTATACTGTAATTCAGAGTAGTTGGTATATGATACTATAGAAATATGATATTGACTAAAGAGGAGACTTACTTTATGTTAAAAAAAATTAATGTTCTTTTTTCAATATCATGGTTTATTCATATACAGGACAGCTTACATTGATAGAGTTTCGTTCACTAAGCTGGAAAGTTTTGTCGTGGAGCTTTCATCGTCCTTCTAAAGTTTGTACTGATGATGTCGTTCAGAGGAACGATGAAAGCTCCACTACCAAACCATCCAGCTTAGAGAACAAAACTCCATCAAAATCATCCACCTGAGCTACAAATCTTCTCCACCATCTCAGGACAGCTTACTGTTATGTAATACTATTTAAGATGATTAAAACTAAACTAAACTAAGGAAATTAATTTATGTTAACCAAATATAAATTAATGTTATCTCCAGATATTATAATAGAACTTCATTCAACTATTATAACGAAATATACTTTAAAGCTTTCAATACTACTTACATTAAACTACAAATGTATGTCTTATTAACATGTGATATTGTTTAAATATTTATTCTCTACGATAATAATGTCAATTAGATGATTTTTTAAAAATTTAGTCTAACATGAACATCGATTTCGGTAATTTTACATCCGTTTTACAATTCATGAGCTGATATATAGATCAAAATAACTTACTGACTTAACTAGATACCAGTCAGTCAGTCAGCTACAACGTAGGACCAGGCACATACATGGATCGGTCCAAGTTGTCATACCTCATTAACACAGCAAGATGAACACCGGATTCATAGGAGTAGTTACTTCACTGATAGTTATATATAAAGGAAAGATTGCATATAAGGATATAGTATAGGAAGAAAGAACTAGTTCGTAGAAAGAAAGATATGAAGCGATTTTGATCTCTTGGTTTAAGGGAAGACAAAAGGTATATACACCGACGCCATTGTGATCGATTCTGAGCCATGTAACCAAGAGTCTCCAACCACTGATTACGATAGTCGCGCGGGCCCAAACCAAGTAGTCTGCATCTACCAATATGGCTCAGACCAGAAGTTAGTGACTTCAAGCACTGATGTCACGTTTCGGTTTGGCTGCCCCTAACTTTCTTCCAACCATCCCCAACAATAGTCGTGGTAATCGGTGTTCAGGCATACGCAACACGTGGCCCAACCATCTCAGTAGATGATGATTCACAAACTCATCACCTGATTTACCATTGTCCCCTAACACCCTGCATCTAACCTCACTGTTACTTACCCGGTTATCCCGGCAGACGCCGGCAATATTTCTAAAGAATCTGTGGTACTAGATTTCAGTAATTAACCTAGATATAGTAAAAGGACTTTGAAAGGAAAAAAGATAGAGAGCACTTGTATTAAAAACCCAACATCATTGTAAACATGTATTGGACAGTAAATGTAATTATGTTTAGTAAAAATATACTAAGATTAATACAATACTATGTAAAAATAGTTAAAAATTATTATATCCCGACGAGTATATTGAATGATAACCATTGGGATCTATTTATGAACTAATACTACACATATATTCTTATTCTATAACGATTGAGTAACTAGGTTATGTATATCTATATTCCTCTTATTATAAGCTTTATTTTGATCCATAGATTATTACTATGCAGTTCACCTTTCTTGAGTTATATCCAATCTATTAATTACAGTCTCCCACATTTACAACCACTTCTGGCTAGTTCTAGTACAAATGTTGTTTTCTCTTTTATGGTTTGATGTGGTCTGTTTGGTTTGTATATGAACCCAGTATGTTTGAAATACATGATTCATATCGCGGAGGCTGAGATTGGTATTCTGGACTCAACGGGTAGAATTAGGCAGGGAAGAAGGACCTATAAAGATACTAGACTGGTCGTGTGGGTTTTATGCATCATTGGTCCGGTCGATAATTCACTGTTCTTTAATTGGCAGTAACACTACATTGTATAATGATAGGGCAGAAGGCCACAAGTTACAACACGAAGTAGAGTCAGATACACAATGATCACTAAAGTATTTTAATGTTTCACCACTAACACAACTTTGCTTAGTTTGAATAAAACACACATGTATACAAAAAGGTTACTATTAGTATTATTATTATTATTACTCGATATTGGTCAACGTAAATTTCAATTTAAAATCTTCGAGAATACTTAATTAGAAAAGAACAAAAAAAAGAAATGCAACCAAATTATATATATATTAATGATGAAGGTGAATAATTTCTGTATTTTGAAGTGTAAACATAACTCCCTTGGTGTTGTTTTACAAGTATCTTCTCATTATTATCTTGGACTGCATTCGAGTCCCGGAGTCAACATCAACTCAGTGATGCAGATTTATCCAACACACCAGTGCGAAATAGGACGAAACGCACATCAAACTGGATTCCACTACTAGCCACTATCCATCTTCGCTTAAAAAGCTTATGACTTAAGGCTATATCGAGGCAGTCCGCATGAGATTTTTATATGCCAACATGAGACTGATCAATTTCAGTCCTAAATAACAATGGGAAGATTCGAGTAAACAATATCAAGTGAATTTAAACTTCACTCCATTTCACGATTAGGTAGCTATTAAGACTCAGTAACTAAGTCGATGACACAATGACGTTTAAAGCGAAAAGTACTTGGTTCAATTCCCAGAGTGAACATCAACTCGGCAATGCAGGTTCATCCAGCTGACGAGTCCTAAATAGGACAAAACACGCAATAAACTGAATTTCACTACTAGCCACTATCCATCTTTGCCTAAACATAACTATTGAATTGATTACAATGTTATAATGAATTTTACAGAACCAAAAAGACAAATGATTTCTTTTAGTAAACTAAAGTATACTACTATAAATAGTAATTGATTACTTCACTATGAATTAAGGTTCAAATTATTATTATTATCACCATGTTATTTATTACTATTTCATTAATGATAGAATACAATTGTAGATAATAATGACATGAATGAAAAATCATTTAAACTTTTATGAATACAGATACACTTTTTTTGTGTGTTTTGTTTCTAAAATTTAAAATAAGCGGAACCAATTATGCAATAAAATGGGCTTCATGAAATAAAAAATGCAAGTTAATATGAATAAACTATAGAGAATGATTGATCAATTGATAGAGAAGGAAAAGAGAATTAGAAGGAAGGTATGACTGCATTATTGAATGAAAAAAAACTAGGGGGGTAGAGAGAGTGGGAAAGAGTGAATGAGTGAGGAGTCATCATCGAGGTAGAAATACACTTCTTTATTTCGTTGAGATTGTCTCCTCAATTTGTTTCTTTTTTCTTTCGTTTGAAAATGGATAACATAAATACTGAATAGTGATAATAATAATAATAATAATAATAAGGAATAAATAATTAGATAAATTTTCATAATCTATCACCTAACAGACGAGATTGTTGCATAAGCATCATTTTTAATTCATCACGATTAATTTTCCCATCATTATTTACATCCCATTGATTTAATATGACTTTTTTAAAGAATTCCAAATCAGCTTCATCATAATCCTATAAAACCGAAAAAACAAACAAACAAACAATTATGAATATATTCGGATGACTAAAAAAATTTAAAAAACAACCGCGAAACTATAATCTATGGACGAACCAATCAGATATAAAATGACAGGTCTCGGATTTTGGCGCGAAATTCATTTATCTATTTGGCTAAATAGAGTTTTGGCATTATAGCTGATTTTAGTTTGTGATGAAAACCATAAATCTAACTCCTAGCTTTAAACATCAACTGTAAATCATATTTCTAATAACTCTCAATTGGTCCTGGTTATTTAGTGGATACTCTCAAGGTCAGTCTAGGGTCACTCAAAGGTTGTCCATAAATTATAGTCTCACCAAAAAAACAACTGAAAAACCCAGATTAAACTCTCAATTAATGGTTAGGACTGCAGTCGATTAATGTGTTATTGGCAATATGTGCATGCTGTTCGGATTGCCTTGATATTGTCTTAGGATACAAACATTTTAAGCAGAAATAGATGGTGGCTAGTAGTGGAATCCAGGGTATTTTACTTTCAGGTATAATGTTTCAAAGGAGTGTTGTAATAAATATCACTTTCCTAAAAATTAACATAACCTGGATTACATGGATTTTTAGATTCGAGATTTCATATCTTTCAAATTTCTTTGATTGAAATTAGAATTTCAAAAGCCTACAACCTTAACTTATCTTGAGTTATAAAAAATAACTCAATAATATAAATAATGGTATCTACCATCTTACTGATGTAAAGTTCGCTACCTGATTAACGCAGAGTACGGTATACAACTACGGCAGTTGGACGTATAGAATCCCCACAATCGCAGAACAAAAGATAGAAGAAGATCGGAGAAGTGCTTATTAGGTTAGAATCAAGATATACAGAAAATGATGGGGTATTTATAGATATTAGCGTTTGTTATATCAACATTATAATCCAATGTTATGCTACTGTCCAATAATAACATGCCCCGTTGTTATTCTAGAAAGCCCTATTATATTCTGATTGGATGGAAACTCTTCGGCTCTTTTAGAGCCTCTAGAGTCTCCATTTTAGTTCTCAGTAGCCCTTGCAACAATTGATGTGTGCGATAATTTAATAAAATGAAAGGTTACAAGTGCTTGAGTGAAATAAATTGCACACACGTTTATACATGTGTTACTTCCTGTTAAAAAACTGTTATAAAATAGTATCTGGGTGAAAATAGTTTTTTTCTTCTTGGAATAAGCATAATTGACTATAATTTCCTGGTTTTCAATGGTTGTCTAGGTAAAATCATTCCGTAATGTAAAACACTATACAATATGGAAATAATTTGATATTCATATTTTGTCTGGTCAGCTGGACGATCTAGACTTCGCAGATGATCTGGCCCTTCTAACCCAAAGGCAACAACAAATGCAGGAGAAGGCAAACAGTGTGGCAGCAGCCTCAGGAGCAGTAGGTCTCAATATACACAAAGGGAAAAGCAAGATTCTCCGATACAACACAGAATGCAACAATGTAATCACACTTGACGGAGAAGATTTTGAAGATGTAAAACCTTTACATATTTGGGCAGCATCTTTAATGAACACGGCGGATCAGATGCAGAAGTGGAGGTGCGGATCGGAAAAGCAAGAGCAGCATATTTACAACTGAGGAACATCTGGAACTCAAAGCAACTGTCAACCAACACCAAGGTCAGGATTTTCAATACAAATGTCAAGACATTCTACTGTATGGGGCAGAAACCTGGAGAATTACAAAAGCCATCATCCAGAAAATACAGGTGTTTATTAACAATTGTCTACGCAAAATACTTCAGATCCATTGGCCGGACACTATTAGCAACAACTTACTGTGGGAGAGAACAAACCAGATCCCAGTGAAGTAAGAAATCAGGAAGAAGCGCTGGAAGTGGATAGAACACACACATTGAGGAAAGCATTCAACTGCATCACAAGGCAAGCCCTCACACGGAATCCTCAAGGTCAAAGGAAAAGAGGAAAATCAAAGAACATATTATGCCGAGACATGGAGACAGACATGAGAAGAATGAACAACAATTGAATAGAACTAGAAAGGGAGGCCCAGGACAGAGTGGGTTGGAGAATGTTGGACGGCGGCCAATGCTCCATTAGGAGTAACAGGCGTATGTAAGTAAAGCAAGAAAACAAGTCTATGAATTCATTTGGTTAATTGGAACCTTAATAAACATTTGATTGTATAAAACATCAGAAAGAAGATAGAATACTACTAATCACAGATGACAACATAAAATCTCTACTTTATATTGATTCATTTCTTTTTTTGTAAACAAATAAAGTATATATACATAATACACACATATCTAGGATCTAGAATCGTTATTTCTGTCTACTTACTTCTTGAGCTAATTCCAATAAATCTTTAAGGAATCCTGATAATTCTTCATCTTCTATTGTACCATTTGCATCCTAATGTAACGAAATATCAATTATTATTTATTTTATAACGTATATAGTAATCATTCATTGATACATGTTGATAAATATCACTTATTCCAATAGTTGAAACAAAAAAAAATAAGCAAAGTATTCAAAAATCTTAATTGCTTGAATCGACTTGTGAACTCAATTGTGAAAATACTACAATTTCTACAAACCTCTACACTGATAATGATCATATAGTTACTAGTGACTAATTTCAAAATAGATTTCTTGAAGTTCTAGTGAGAAATGGTAACAAGTAGAGTCCAACCCATGATGGGTGAGAGACAGTTATTCACCAGACACAACGGATGAAAGATTGTGCAAAATCATGAATCAATTGAAGTTAAACATTAACACTATTGGATACAGACTCAGTGGTCTATAGGTTAGGCATTAGAACACATGAGAGAAGATTTTGAGTCCAAGCCCAATATCAGGACGAAACGGCTATCCAGTGATTACAAGTTTTCAATGGTGGTCTAGCTTAGATTGATTCGTTAATTCAACTGTGAAAATGCTACAATCTCCACCAATCCCCATATTGCTAATTGCTTTACTTGGTAAAGATAAAACTTACTTTTACTATACAAAATGTTGTCATACATGATTTATTATTACACGAGGGTCAAATAATATTCAAACTAACGTACAACTATTAAGATATTGTTTGGATTATACTTAAATATGATCATCCCAAACGAATTATCCTCATCAGTTTAGATTTGTATTAAGAAATATTTTTATGTTTAACTTAACTACAATTTTATAAGTTAAGTGTAAACATCAATGAATGCTGACTCGTTGGTTTACAAGTTAAGCGTTCATGAATGGTCATAGATGTGTACTGATGAAGAGTAACATACTAGGACGAGACGAGCGTTCAGTACTTTCTAGTTTTCAATTACTTACTTACCTACGCCTGTTACTCCTCGTGGAGGACCATAGGCCGCCCACCAGCATTCTCCATTCAACCCTACCCTTAACAATCCTTTCCAGCCCTTCCTAGTTGTTATTTATCCTTTTCATATCTGCTTCTATCTTCCGACGTATTGTGTTCTTTGGCCTTCCTCTTTTCTGCGTCCCTTCAGGATTCCAAGTTAGGGCTTGTCTTGCGATGCAGTTTGATTATTTCCACAATGTATGTCCTATCCATTTCCATTGTCTTTTCCTAATTTCTTCTTCAGCTGGGAGTTGGTTCGTTCTTTCCCACAGTAGACTGTTGCTAATGGTATCCGGCCAATGAATGTTAGGTAACTTGCGTAGACAACTATTTATAAACACTCGTACCTTCTTGACGATGGTTGTAGTAGTTCACCAAGTTTCATCTCCGCGCAGTAGAACTGTCTTGACGTTCGTATTGAAGATTCCGACTTTGATATTGTTTGAAAGTTGTTTTGAGTTCTATATGTTCTTCAATTGTAGTTGTTATAAAGCTTTATATTCACGTATCATGTCCGTTGGTACTTATTAGGAAGGTATCTCTGCGGCAATTGTAGTCTCATCTATCACCAAGACTTTCAAGATTATTGGTGAATCTAGCTAAGAAGTACTAGATTGCAGGAAACCTTCTTTTAGGGTCCTTATGTTTCCTACGTTCAAACATTTATCTCATTATAGTGCATGCATAGATAGGAGATCCATTACGGAAATCACCAAACTGCATCACGAGGAAAGCCCTAACTTGGAATCTTGAAGGAAAACGGAAAAGAGGAAGGCCGAAGAACACATTACGTCAGAAAATAGGAGCAGACATGAGAAGGATGAATAACAACTGGAAAGAGTCGGGAAGGAATGCCCAGAACACGGTTGAATGGAGAGTTCTGGTGGGCGGCCTATGGTGCTCCATGAAAAGTAACAGGCGTAAGTATGTAAGTGCATGCGATTTTGAGTCACTTAGACTAGAGAGTGATAATGTACATTGATTCAGAGAATTCAATCGGTAATAAATTATTAGACAAACATGGGATCACTTTTTAATGATCAGTTATTTGTACATTTGAAATTGATTTACAATGTTATATAATTTAAAATTAAAAGTCATCAGTAAATGATTAATCAGTTGAGCTTCTTTTTTTCTTCAACAAACATAAAAAGATAAAAAACAATCTAATTTTATGATTTAAGAAAACTTTCTAAAAATATCTAATATTAGATGATAAATTCACTGATTATGAAAATTTTAAGGATAGTTATTTCATTCTTAGCTGTTCGTCGAAACGATCTCATAAAGGATTAAACTCTAGAATATTCATATCTGTTAATGATCAAAGCGATTATAAGATGAGAAATCATAGAACAATGACCACCAATGACATTATTAGTAAGTCAGTCGTCATAAGTAACGATTATCTAAATCCATCAGCAACAACCATTTCAATGTAATAGTATCATTCTGCACTTTTTATAAGCTTAAATTAGAACAATGATGGTCACTAGTTAATGTACGATGGATTTGATGATTTAAATTAACAACAAACCCTTACCTGATAATGACTAGCACTGAAGCGTTAAATTTCTAGTCAAAAGCCGTGATAAATAGAGTTCTACAATGTCTAGTGTAAGACAAACGTCACCGACAGTATTGGATAATTATTATTCTATTTCATGAATAGATTAATGCTTGAAATGTAGACCGTTTACTTTAAACTTAGTACTTGAAATTTATAGCGATTACTAGGATATCTTTAAATTATAATTGGAAACATATACCATGGATCAGGAGAGTTCATCGTATACCACTGTGTAACTAAATGAATAAAACAAATATTTTACTTACAAGATCATAAAGTGAAAATGCTCGATCAATATCAGCTGATGTAATTTTCGAAGCATTCTATAACAAAAATAAATATAAAGCAATTAATCCCTTTGATTAATTTCCATAGTGTAATAGAAAGACGAACATTATTAGAACTATGTGATGTCATTATTAACTCAATACATTTCAAGCAATCTGATCACACATATACTTGTTAAGAACATTTATATATAAGATGGTGGTTGGAGATAGTTAACCGCCATCTTATCTCAACATAGTGGACGTAATGTCGAGTCAACTAGACTAATGATCATATTGTAACTTGGTCGATAGGATTCAATTTGCACTAAGAAGGACCTGACATACATGACATTGATCAACACCCAGTGATCAATCAATTGTAAATACATTTATATATAAAAAATAAGAGGTCAAGTAGAATAGAAATGGAGGGTAAGAAGAGACAAGGATAATAAGGAAAATAATGTGAAAACAATTTGAAACCTCATCACTCTGGATAATAATAAGTTAATATTACCAGAGTAGATTTCAGGTGAGAACAAACTGTTTTTGAATACACAGATGGGGTTTGAATTTTCGTATAGCTAGAGCTACAATAAACTTTAGTAAACACCCTTTTACAAGTTTGTACAACACCATAAAAGTCGAGTTAAGATCAGTTTTATGACCTGTTTCAACTATGCGTTTGACAAAAGAAGATGATATATATCGTCAATCCTCGTATATAATTATCGACTTAAATCGCGTTGGTGAACAACAGAATTAAATAAGTACAATAATTGATCAAGGCAGACAACCAAAAGAAGGAAGCGAAACGAAATGTCATGTTGTGGATGTGGCGGATTAGACGACTTGATTTAATCAAGCGTTAATCAATATTTATAGCCAAATAAAAATAAGTTAAAGATATATGATGAATAGGATAAGAAGTGTACACACACATACGCTCATGTAAAAACAGTTAGGGTTAATAAGCGAACAAGTGGCAAGGTCAAAACGTGATTCAGGAAGAATGGATAGATTGGCCTGTTCAGATGCTAGAATATGGGTTTAACATAGGAACCGACACTACAAACTGTTACTATAAAATGAAACATTGTATCTGGCTTCTTCTTGCTTTAAAGTTAATTTTGTTTTCTAGAATTCCATTAAGTATCATACAATTAAATGCAATTCATAGGTTGACTAACAGTTGAAGCTTTTTTTACTGTTCTTCTGAAACCAAGTTATGTAAATGATTTAGAAGTGGAGTATTAGTAGTAGTGTAGTGAAAAAGGAATACGAGTGAGGACAATCGGATGTAATTTAGCACAAAACTACAGCACATCTCAGTAAAATCTGACAACCCTGAAGTAAATAGTTAATTTGCGAAATATCAATCCATCGTCTCAAACTTGACTGTTACTTTTGTAAATATCAATCTATAGTCTCAGATTTCATTATTCATGCATTTTCATACCAACTGCTCTTCGTTCTCGTTCTTTCCCCCTCGATCTTCCACTGAAATACATTCTATGTCTAAATATCGTTATATACTACTTATGTGGATATAAGTAGCTCACATTACAGTAATAGCAGTAGCAGTACACTTTGAGAATTCACATGGTAAATCAATCAAGAACAATTTGTATTCAACAATAATAGATCATATATAATGACATAATATTTTCTCATTTATTCATTATTAATTTGCTGAAATCTCATTGATTTCAACGTTATTTACATTAACTACTACCTTTCTAATTGGTCTAGAAGATGATTAATTTGATTCTCTGTTTATTATTTTACACGTATTTGTTATGTCCCAATAAGCATGATGAATGGTAACTTTAGGATCCATTTATGGACCAATACTAAACGTATTTTTTTACCGTATAATTGTTAAATAACTAAACTATTCATATTCCTCTTATTATAGGCTTTATTTTGATTTATAAACTATTATTATACGTTTTACCACTCTTGAATTACGCCCTGTCTATTAGTCACTGCCTCCCACATTCACAGCCACATTTGGTCAAATCTTGTACAAATGTTATTTTCAATTTTATGGTATGTTGTGGTCTGTTTGATTGGTATATAAACTCAGTATGTTTGAAATATAATTATTCATATTGCAGAGGCTGAGATTGGCGTTCTGGACTTAAATGGCTGGGCTAGACAGGAAGCAGAACCAATCAAAACTCTAAGCTGCTTATACGGGTTTACGCGTCATTGATCCGATCGATAAGTCACTGCTCTCTAATAGGCGGTCACAAGTTATAATAGCATTTTAAGCTGAAATATATATCAAGAAATTCTTCAAAGATTATAGATGTATAAGTTACTTGTTATTTACTAAAATTAGTTAAGTAATATATTCATTCCATTATTCTACTCAAGAAAATACAATATTAATTTATTATTGTTATATACTGATGAGAATAATGAATGATAACTGTTGGGATCTATTTCTGGATTAACATTATACATACATTTTTATCGTATAATTGTTAAGTAACTAAACTTGTCATATTCGTGTTCCTCTTATTACGAGCTTTATTTTAACCTATGAACTATTAATATACGATTAACCATTCTTGAGTTATGCCTGGTCTATCAATTATTATCTCCCACATTCACATCTACCATTGGTTAAGTTTTGTACAAATGTTGTTTCCTATTTTATTGGTACGATGTGGTCTGTTGGGTTTATATATAAACCCAGTATGTCTGAAATACATGATTCATATTGCAGAGACTGAGATTTGTGTTCTGGATTTAACGGGCAGGGCTAGGCAGGAAGTAGGACCGATAAGGTCTCTAGAATGCTCGTGTGGGTTTTATGCGTCACTGGTCTGGTCGATAAATCACTGTTCTCTAATTGGCAGTATCATTACTTTATGTATTAATAGGACACAGGGCACAAGTTATAACAGTTATACTACTTATAAATCCTTTGTATCATAACATGAGAGAAAGAATGTTCCATATTGATCCAACAGTTTAAATAGATTAAAATTACAGTTTGTCATTTGTGCTTTATACTATTCATTTCCTTTTAGGCATTGTATTGGCTTGTGTCAATGAGAAGAAGATATCTTGATTTACATTATCCACCTCAAAATGTATATTACTACAGTATTATAATATAATCATAAGAGTTTGATTAAGATTACCTTGAAAATTGGTCTGCATAAATAATTCTCTTTAACAGGAAGTAGTCTAAAAAGAGTTGAAATTATTGAAAATAATGGTTAATGATGATGATTATTATGATATAAATAACATTTACATTATAAATAAACAATGTCAGTTTGAACAACATCTTGCTTCCAACTGTAGTAAATAGGAAAGCATACTTTACTCAATAGTAATAATAATAATAATAATAATAATAATAATTCCAGTAGTTGGGACCATGAGCCAATTGAAGCTAGACCACCACGGAAAACCTGGAAGGACTGGACGACCGTTTCGTCTTATTTTGGGGCTCCTCAGCAGTGCGAGTCTAGGACCCCGCCCCGCGAGATTCAAACCCACGACTTGTCAGTCTCGCGCGCGAACTCTTAACCATCAGACAACCGGGCCGGGATCTAACGGTGTTAATGTCTAACTTCAACTGAGGAGCCCAACAGTGGGACGAAACGGCCTCCCAGTGCTTCTAGGTTTTGTATGATGGTCTAGCATCAATTGACTCATGATCTCAACTATTGAAATTACTACAATCTCCACAAACCGATTTTTTGATGATAAAAATAATAATATTCACTGTTTTCATACCATAGCGTCCAATATGATTTTAATATCATTTTGTAAAGTATAATCAGGATAGGCTTCTACATGAATCATTCACGTAGGTTAGCCATTACAAGATGGATTTTCAAAGATTTTTAATCATTACCTTGATCTGTCTACTATGAAACATATCACATAAAAAAGTCGAGTTGTGTAGTCTAGTGACTTAATCGTAAGTTGATCACTAAAGTTCAATAAACAATATTTGTCTGACAAAATACAACTAACAACTATGTTTTTTTCTTCAAAGTAATGATTAGAGAATATACAATGATAAACTGGATCGATTATTACACTACAAAAGGAATGATACCACTTAGGAGAGATAAGGTTATATATTTTAAAACAATACAATTCATATATTATTTTGACTGAATCCCTGTATCAAGGATTGTCAGTAATATCAAATACAAGGTGAAAATAAAGTTGGTAAACAGAATTGATATTATTATTTATTTTATTTATTTCTTTAAACACATAAATATTAGTACTATGGGGCACCGAAAACATATGCGCCACATATGCCACTTCATTTGTGTGTGGGCGGTTATACTGCCTTGGTGACCAGACCAAAGCACGTGGTTTCCTAAGGGGGGGGGCACACAAGGAGCCTTAAACCTAAAGGTCTAATCCACAAGGCAGTGGTAGCCGGTAACCAATAATTGGTTCATACGCCATTTGTTTCCTTCGGATTCTGGAGCCCATTTTCACGATTGGCTTGAAATCAAGGTTTTCCAACTCCTCTAGGTGTATTCATCGTGTCCACCAATTCAGTTAAAGCATTGGACGTTCGCTTTTTGTCCTCTGAGTTTCGTAAACAACACCCCCACCACTAGAAGGCAGTAAGTATATGTATTGATATATGTATTCATACCTATTAATATTTAATATATATTTGAAACAAACTTTACCTTGCCATTTCACTGAGTTGAAGTTTACCATCTTTATTTTGATCGAATAACTGGAGCTTTACAAAATGAAATGAAAAGAATAATAACCAACTTCAGAACAATTTAAATCCAACAAGTTTTTTCTGCATTTATTAAAGAATTTTAAAAAATTTCTACAATGTGTCATGTATCATCATGTTAGATTGTAGTGGCTTAGTTTCGTTAATCAATCCCCATGATAATCAGTAGTATATAAATCCTCAAACAGTGTTTGGATTCAGGAAATAATAAGAAGCGGCGACTACAGTTTATTAGTGGATAAAACGTATAATAAAGTTACAAGCATAACGAACTAATTTGCAGCAGAGAGGCTACTACTACTTGTACGAGCGAGAGAGCGAATACGGAGGAGAATTTATAGTCAACATCAACATTTAATCTAGAGAGATATATGTGCATAAGCTGTCACATCTGATCAAGCGTACCCGTTTATAGAAACATAATAATGATGATAATAAAAGAAAGAAATGAGTGAATTGTTACTATGCAAATAACAATGTCTGTCAAATAAGTTAATAAAAGTGTTCGACAAAATTAACCATAAACAAAATTGATTGTAAGTTGCTATAATATCATTTAGTAAACTGTGCTATACTATACAAATAAATATTCAAAACCAAACTGTTTTAACTTGTAATTTTGATAACTAAATAGTCTTTAATTTCTGTTACCACAACATTAATTGCTATCAAATACTTTCATGAGTAATCACTGGATTCGAGGCCCTGAGTTAACATCAATTCTGTGATGCAGATACATCAAGCTGACCAGTCCCAAATAGGAAGAAACGTGCATCAAACTGGATTCCACTACTAGTCATCATCTATTCAAGCTTATAATGCATGTAAATGAAGGCAATATCGGGGCAATCCACATAGGATTTACATATATCAATAAAAGACTGATCAATTGCAGTCATGAAGATCAATGGGAAGATTCAAATAAACAATATAAAGTGACTTTTAAATCCATATACTGTAATTAGTGGAGTGTTAGTTCATGTTTTTTTCACTGTCCTGTTTTCTTCTTTTAAATAATTCGATATGCACTTTTCTGAATACTTTTTCAACTCACAATCGTTCACAATAGCACAGGAGCATTCATTCATTAACCTTGACCTAATCTTGAATTCCAATGTAAACGTTTTTAGAATACAATAAATAAATGAAAACCTTTTCATTCAATGATTTGCTTATACGGTGAATGTCAAAAATTTAGTATGATCATATATACATTCTCACTTTACTTTTTCAAACCATATTCCAAATGTTCGCTGGTTCTCACTATGATTATTACTACCTAATTTCGATCTTTTTTAGTAATTCGTCTCGTCAATTTCATCTTGTCGTGTTAATGTGATTTACTAGTAGTCTAAGATAACTTACATCTTTATCAGTCTCTACAGTGATGATGTCTGACTGACGGTTGATCAATCTTTAACATAGAATTAAATCTATGAACATCTGATTGTCAGAATGGATTTATTTGATTGTTAGAAGTAAGAATCATTAAATGAATCTCTTTAGAGTAAGATTTTATAATTTTTCAAATTAATTAACAAATTTTGGAGAGACTATAATTTATGGATGAACCAATCAGATTTAAGATAGTAGGTCATAGATTTGGGCGGGAAATTCATTCTAAAATTTAGTTAAAGAGCGTTTTGAGATTTTAACTTATGTCAATTCGTGATGAAAACCATAAATCTAATTCGTAACCCTAACCATCGACTGTAAATCGTTATTCTCCAAACTGCTTTATAACCCTCATTTAGTCCTAGTTAGTAGGTGGATCTTCGTAAGGTAACTTTAGCGTCGCTCAATGTTCGTCCATAAATTATAGTCTCACCGAAGTAACATAAGTTAAACAGATAATAGATTTTTCCTAAGGTTATTCATATTACGTCAGATATCTTTATTCAAATTCTATGTGACCTAACACAAGCTTTCATTAGGTTCTTCATTTTAAAGTTTCGTTATTTTATGCCTAAGTAGAAAATATTCCTAACAAATATGAATACTTCATTTTTCTTTTAAAATGTTTAGCTGTTGTAAGTGGTTTAGGGAGGTAGTTGTATATCATCGTTAGCGCCGTGATTTAATTGTTGTTAAAAAACCGTTGGAAATCACGAAGCATTAAACAACTATTTTGTCATTCCATAGAACACTTCAGTAATGTAAATCCATAACTATACCACTAAGGATTGAACAAATGACCTTAAATTCCGCTCAAGCTCCTGACAGTTAGACCGTTTATCCAATATCCAGTAATCCTATTCTAGGTCAAAACAGCTGTCTACTAACTCATGGGTTCTAATGGCTGTTCTGCTGAAATCAGTCCGTGATATTAATCACAAAATATACTTTAGGCAATTGTAAATGTTCTCACATAAAAATCTTTACAGTAGTTTACTTATCAAAAACGTAGTTCTGTCTCAGTATGTTTAGTTAGTTTGATATATGAGTGAACATTATAATTTGTTTATCAGTGTAGGGTCATGGAGATTATTAAACAATTAATTGAAATCACGAAACGATCTATTTCAGGTCACCGTTGAAAACCTGGAAGCACTGGACGGCCGTTTCATCCTATTGTGGGACTCCTCATCAGTGTGCATTGTGGAATAGTTGAGGTTAGACATTAACACAGAGATTGGGCGTTCGCACGCGAGACTGAAGGCCCTGGGTTTGAATTCCGCAAACGGGACCATGGATGCACACTGCTGAGGGGTTCCACAATAGGATGAAACGGTCGTCCAGTTCTTCCATGTTTTCAATGGTGACCTAACATCAATCGTTTCATGATCTCAACCAATAACTTAATAATTTCCACAACTCTATACTGATAATTACCATGTGCTCACTAGTGACTAGCTTCATGAGGGAATTCTCGAAGTTCTAGTGAGAAACCGTGACTAGTGGAGCTAATCCGTGTCGCGTAGAGACAGGTATCTAACTCAGTACAATGGAGGATGTTCACGTAATTTCGTGGATTGGTTAAGGTTAGACATTAATTTTTTATCGACTGAATAATGTAAAGTTAATTTGGGTTAATTTTATTACCATTAAATGTGTAGAATTAAAATACCATAATTGTTTACCAACATGTTGGATAACTAAATTAATCTCAGTGACCTAATTGAAGCCTAAATTTATTGAATAAATGATGAATTTTTTTTAATTTCTTTCAGCTAATTCATATGTGATTACTCTGATATTTTTTGCAATTGGAAAATCCTTTCAAACTTCTAGATCATTTGATGATATTTAAAAGCATGGTTTAGTCTAATAGTCAAAATGTTTTAATTCAATCCGTCTACGATGATTACGTAATGTTCGTGAAATTAATTGTTCGACTCGTGACCTGAAGGTTGTTGGTACAGAGAATGAAGATTTAACCCTAACCCTGGGGCCCATGTGCACCATTGGTTTGGAATCAGGGTTTTCTAATTCCCCTAGGTAGACCCTCCATATTCATCAACCTGATTAAAGCGTCAAACATTCACTTTTCATTCTCTCAATTTTATAAAAAAACGATATGATTTGTATGACAATATTTTCATAACTGTACTTTTATTTTACATTCATTTCGTATAAAATGAATAAAACTATAACCAATAGAATATCAAAGAGTGATATATTATTAACAGAAAATATTGACCCCCCAAAAAAAGAAGAAATCAACTTACGATGGATGAAGTATACTCAATTAATTTTCCTTCTTCAATATTAGTTTCCGGTTTTGCTTCTTTCAATAAGTGTAGAAGAAATGACTACAGAAAATAGATCAATATTTATTACAGGTTAAATAGCATATTATGGTTAACACATAATTTGGATTGTATAGATTTTATATTCAAGTGATTGTAAGAATTTCATTATGGAATCATTCTCATTGTCATAAATACACTACATCGTAAGCGTTAAAATACATCACTTGCATTTTCATCATCTCTGACCATATTTTTTAATCTCCTCTAGATAGTCTTCTTACGCTGCATTGTTTATACAGCTTTTTTTCAGAACTGATCAAGGAACGTCAAGGAATATCATAGGGATAAGTCTAGTAAGTTAGAAGTATAATTGAATAAGCTGATGGAATTAAGGGTTTGAAACGAGAAGATTCTTACTTAAAAGTGTGTTGGTGCACTGTAACAATGCGACAGACGCTGACTAATACCATCAGGATTCGTTCTCACATGATGCACATTACCCTACATCACTCATGGTTAATTATTGAGAAATGAATTGAAGGCATTTAACACTATGAAGTTTGCGTATTTGTATCAGGCTAGTCAAGCAAGTCAGGAGATACTATAGTTTAGCTAATACTTGCTACACAGTGATGTTGTAGTGAAGGGGAACACAGGTGAGGACAATCGATGTCTAGCACAAAATATACAGAGTTACTTGGTAAAATAGAAAAACCATATTCCAATAATTCATTCGGAAATTGTTCATCAATTGTCTCAGATTTAATTGTTTCTGTAGTACCATACCAATTGCTTTCTGTTTATGTTCTTCCCTCATTGATATATTCAACCTTCAACCACCAGACATTCTATTCTTGACTAAGGTTATGTACCACTTATGTCGACATAAATAGCACGTAGCATAATGTTACCGAAATACTTTTCATTTGAATGTATTAAGAATGAGAACAATTGGATATTCAGATCATAGATTCATAATAAGACGATGATAGTGGTTAGTAAATATGACGTTTATTTAAACACCAATATTAACTTTAGAGAATCAAAGGTTTTTTAAGCTTTTCTGATATAAAACTTTGTACAGTGATGTGTTTAGAAATTTTCTATATCTTTAAGATGATAATATTGTAATCAGTACTTTTCACAATAGTGTGTCTATATATTTAAGTTATTTAGTACATATTACAATTGACCGACTGAATTATGATTCTCATTGGCGCATAACATAGATAAACTTTATAGTAAACTGGCATCGAACTATCTAACATATTGTGATATCCCGATGAGAATAATGAATGGTAACTTTTTATCGTACAGTTGTTAAGTAACTAGACTTGTCATATTCGTGTTCCTCTTATTAGGAGCTTTATTTTGACCCATAAACTGTTATTCTACGATTCAACATTCTTGAGTTATACCCAGTCTATCAATTACAGTCTCCCGAATTCACAGCCAAATTTGGCTAAATATTGTACAAGTGTTGTTTTCTATATTGTAGTGAGATGTGATCTGTTCAGTTTACATATAAACCCAGTATGTTTGAAATACATGATTCATACCGCAGAGACTGAGATTTGTGTTCTGGACTTAACAGGCAGGACTAGGTAGGAAGCAGGAACTATAAAGATTCTAGACCGCTTGTACTTGTTTTATGCTCCATTTGGTCCGATCGATAATTCACTGTTTTGTAATTGGCGGTATCATCACGTTATGCACTAATAGGACACATGCCAGAAGTTATAACACATATACGGTTGAAAATTTGATAGATTTTAGTGAAACACTTGTTTCTATAGTTTAGTTATCTTGTAATAATCTTTTTTTCTTTTACCCTCAACAAGTGCTTTCGATCACCATTTTCAAATCTTATATTACTTGCTATGCTGTTGACGAAAACTGTGAAACAGTATTGTAGCAAACTAGTCGTTCAATATTTATCATTTAAAACTAGGAAGAAGTAAGATGTTGAAGAAGATTTGTAGCTTCTGATGATGTCGTTCAGAAGAAGGATGAAAGATCTATGACTATACCATTCAACTCGGAGAACAAAACTTCGTCGAAAAAAAGCTAGAAAGAAGTCAACATCTGTTTTGTTATTATTTTTTATTTTTAATTAATATTCATTTATGATATAATAAGTTATGTAATGCAACTTTTTTGTGTTTACTAGTAAAATGAGCTAACGCGCGTCTTGGATTCCGCTGCTAGTCATCATCCATCTTTGCTTATGAGCTAATGCTGTTTATTATCTAGCCTATGTCAGATTAACAGTATAAAACTCTTCAAAATACTTAATTAAATAATTAGATTGAATGGCTCCATGATACATTAAACTTTTAATATGAAGTGTATCTTGAAAGGTCGAATTTGTGTGTTGTTCAACTCCAGATTATCAGAATGGGGATTTGTGGTGATTGTAGTAATGTCAATAGTTGAATTCGTGTATTGGACCATTATTGAAAACGCGGAATCACTGAGCGGCCGTTTCGTTCTAGTATGAAACTCTCCTGCTGAGGAGTCCTATATTAGGACGAAACGGATGTCCAGTGCTTCCAGGTTCTCCACAGTGGTCTAGCTTAGATCGACTCATGAATTCAACTAATATAATTCCAAATTTTCATTTGGATATACTTTCAAGTTGAATGATTTCCACTTTCTACTGGATAGGCTAAATCAAAGAAATCATTAAGATTTTCCTGTTAGAAACTAACCTGGTGTGGCTAAAAATAGGCGCAAGTTCATTATCATTATTATTGTAATTATTATCATCTTGAAAAACAAGTATGCATAGTTGCGACTGTACAAGTTTGAAAATGAATTATAATCAGTATGATGTTGTGGAGATTGTTAAGTTTTTGATGGACATCATAAATCCATTGATGTAAGACCACCATTGAAAACCCGGAAGTATTGGACAGCAGTTTTGTTTTAGTACGGGACTCGTCAGCAGTGAGTATCCTTGGCCCTTGACCTCGTATGTGAACGCTTAGCCTTTATACCACTGAGTCTGGATCTAAAGATGTTAATGTCTAAACTCCATCGATCCATGAATTTCATTCATCCATTGTCTCAGATAGATACCTGTCTCTACCCGACATGGATTGGACTTTACTAGTCAAGGCTTCTAACTAGAATTCCAGGAAATCATGCTAGAGCCGGAAAGAGAATTCTTTGCTAAATCAACCTTTCTTATTATAAAGTAACCTAACAATAGAAGTTGATAGTTATAATAACTCAAAAAGTGTTTTCTCCCTTTATATTTGGGCATTATTTTTGTAGATTTGTGATCTAAGTAAGCCAACAAAATAATTTAGTCAATTTTCACCTGGTTGAAAAATATTTTCTAAATTGTGTTAAGGTTTTCTTACGATCACCCGATGTTTTTTAATTTATGGTTATTTTAAATTCACTTGGTACTGTTTGCTTATATCTTCTCATTACTTATAAAGCTTGTGGCTTAAGTCAATATAGAGGTAATCCTCACTGGATGCACATATACCAACAAGAGACTGATCGATTGCAGTCCCAAACATCATTAGGGAGATTCAAACAAACAATACAAAATGAGTTTATAATTCATCCCATTGCACAAGCTAGTGGCTATCAGGATTCAGTAGTTAAATGTATAACGTGATGATGTTTGAAGTGAACGGTACTAGGTTTGAATCCCTGAGTGAACATCAACTTTGGTATAAAAGTACATCCACGTGATGAGTCTAAAACAAAACGAAACGCTGGATTCCATTGCTAACCACCATCCACCTTTATTTATGGTTATTTTGATTCTTAAATAATAATGAAAATATTAATCTATTCACGTTTATTATACTAAATAAGATATTTATGATTTCAGGCTAATTTAATTGTAAATGAAACTCGTTTTCTCTAAAAATCAATATCAGTCGAATAAGGTTTATGAAGAAGATACACTAACCTACTCAGGGATAAAACATCAATATCTAAATTTGTAAAAATTCATTTAGGAAACGTCAATCTTTACGAATAAGAGAAAAAACATTGTAGTTGATTTAGCTGACGGATAAGTGACAGTTACCTTGTTTTAGTCTGTAGCATAGTATTATTTTTAAAACTATATCCATGGAATTGATAAATGTTTTTAATTTGTTAGATATAACTATTTTATTAATTTATGGTTTGAAAAATGGTTTGAATTATTTTTTTTTCCTGGTTAGCGTTTTTCTAGTGAATTAGTTTTCTACGAGATGGGGTAACCAACCCGATGCCCAACCCCCTTTCTTTATCCGAGCGTCAATTAGAGCTAGACCACTATGGAAAGCCTAGAAGCACTGGACGGCAGTTTCGTTCTAATATGGAACTCCTCAGCAGTGCGCATCCACGATTTTAACTATTGAAATTACTAAAATCCCCACAAAACCCCTTCTGATAATAGTTTAATTTTTAAGATTTTTAAAATTAATTACAGTTGAACAGTTACTGATTCATCATTGTATAGGATCAAGGTAGCAAGACTATAATTTATGGACGAACCAATCAGATTTACGATGACAGGTTATAGATTTTGTTCATGGAATTCATTCATCCATTCGGTTAAATAGTGTTTTGATATTACAGCATATGTTAGTTCGCAATGAAAACCCTAACCGTAACCATCAATTGGAAATCAAAATACTAATTCCTTACACTGGTTTATAACCCTCGTTTAACACTAGGAAGTAGGTAGACATGTTCATGTTCACTTTAATGTCGCTCAATGGTCGTCAATAAATTTTAGTCTCAAAAAGTTATATTTATTTTATAGAGATTAATGTACTCTCATAACATGATGTATAAAGATATCTACCATTGTATGCATGCAATGAAATATTTTCTAGTCAAGTTGCTTATAAAAAGAAATTATATTTTTATGAATTCCAAGTAAATGATAGAGTTTCTAGTTATTTACATGACATATACCACTTTGAATGACATTACAAGTAACAAAAGATTGATATGAAGATAAAAATATAAGTTAATAGGCATCTAGGCCTTTCATGCTAATTGTTTGTCTGCCAAAGTAAATATAAGTATCAACTAAAACTTAGCATCCGTACAGGTCCTTCGTAATGTTGAAAACACATAGAAGACACATGGTTACATAAGTTGTTGAAGACATAATGACTTATAAATATGAACTACATGTAAATTATGTAATTGATTTATATATCACAAAAAATTGATCGTGTGATTAGGCATGTAACACATGATATATCACTTGAGACTATAAAATCATTATCGAATCACATACATCTTGAATAAGATCATTTAAAACATCTGTTTGCACAAATGAGGTGTGTTATTATCGATGCTATTGTCACATAGAAGAAAACTAGAATTCTTCACCTCAGATAATTTTCCACAAGTTACATAAAATTGTCACATAGATAAGGAATATAACTCCAATAGAATTATCTAAAGTCAGTCAATCAGTAACAACGTAGACCTTCCTACTTACGTACATCAGTTCGAGTTGCGATACCACATCAGCACAGAGATGCAGTTGTTGATTCAAATCATATAGTGGTAGAGGTAGTAAGAGCATAAGCAGTAATCAGAAAGATTAGGGTTTGAAGATGTTATTCAAGTAGTATAATCCAGCGAAATGAATATGAAAAGAGAAAAATTGAGCAATATGGCGAATTCAGAAGATTAGAATTTGCGAGAACACAAAAAGTAGATGCACCTGAGCCATCGCAAATGATTTTGAGCCAGGTCATCCAACGTTTCTGACCATCGGTTGCTATCGTGTCGTGGATCACAACCAGTTAGTCTACACCTACCAACGTGGCTCAATTCACTTGTCAATGACTTCATGGATTTGTGCCATGTTTTGGTCTGACCGCCCCTAACTTTCTTTCAACCTACTCCTACACCATATTAATTCTATATTATGTGATATATTTCATTAAACATTTGATTCGTTCACACACTTTATGTATCTTAAAACAAATGAAAAGAATCAAGTAACCATTCAATTCATTCATTCAGGATATTTAGTTGTAATGATTGAAAATTGACCAAGTAAATATTTTGAAAATAATTTTCATCTTTAATAATTAACTAAATGATTAATAGGTTATTATATTGGATTTATGGATGCCGGCTAAGTAGGCTAGAGGTTAAGTGTTTACGCGCGAGACCGAAAGTCCTAGGTCTTAATCCTTTGTGCGGAGTCATGAACGCGTATGGCTGAGGGGTCTCTTGCTAGGATGAGACAGCCATCCAGTGCTGCCAGGTTTTTAATGGTGGTCTATCTTAGATCGACTCATGAATTCAATTATTAAAACATTTTGATCACTTACTTTCAATTCGTCAGCTTCAATATATCCACTTCTATCTTTATCAAAACGTTTCCACACCTATAAAAAGGATGTGAGAAATCAAAGAATAACACATGTAGTAAGCATAACAATGTGATAATTACACTCAAAAATGTTTCTTCTTGAATATGACAGGTTGAAAATCATAATTAATTGCTAGGTTCATTCTTCTCAATTCACATTTTTACACTGTCACTTATTCGCTTAATAATCCTGATTGGGTATGATCGTATGCGTGCTATCTGCTTACTTTACTCATTATGTGTCTGTAACGTTTTGCTCGACGATAAGTATTGATTCACTCTTGGCTAAATCAAGTTGGCTCACACTCCTTCTCCATCGCGCATCTTTTCGCATTGTCGTTTTCGTTTTCTTTGCTTCGTTTCCTTGATCGTCTATCTGGATCTATGACTGTATGAAATATACGTATTCGAAATTCATTCTAGTATTTGTCTTATTTGATTCCGTTATTCACTAACGCGAATTAAGTCAACAATTATATACGAAGGTAGCTCACATATATATTTCGATGACATGCAGCAAATGATCTACCTGGAGTCAGATCTCGGGTCAGTAAAAATCTCATTCACAAGTTGATAAATAATTTCTTGATATACTCCGTAATATGTAAATAAAAATGAGGTACAATGAATAGCTTAAAACACTATGGATTTATGTTAAGTGTGGTACTTTTGTTGTAGTCAGTTTGTATTCTGCAGATTTTCTGTTTATTCGGTTTAAAATATTTTGTGAGAATTATCCAATCCAACTCTATCTCATTGTTTCACTCTTTACATTAATTTGATTCTGTATTGTTGTATTGAATTTTGTCAATGAAATGTCTCAAGTTAGGTATAAGACATAGAATTAGCATTCTTTACATTTAATCAATGCTCTGACTGATCTCATGACAAAATTTGGTTTACATGAGAGTTGTACAAAATCAAAAAATAAAATAATTATCCATATCACTTGTTGAAATCATGAGTCATTTGAAGCTAGACCACCATGGAAAGCCTGGAAGCACTGAAAGGCCATTTCTTCCTAGTATGGGACTCCTCAGCAGTGCACATCCACGATCCCGCTCCCCGTCGGATTCGAACCCAGGAGCTATCGGTCTCGCGCCAGGCGCTTATCCAACTAGAACACTGAGCCGGCATCCAACGGTGTTAATGCTTCCAGGTTTTCCATGGTGGTCTGGCTTCAACTGACTAATGATTTCAACAAGTGAAATTTCTAAAAATCTCCAGAAAACCCATTCTGATAATTATCCATGTATTTTGTCGTGATCTATGATCTCATTTATCATCAATTCTTAAAAACGGAGACTTTTTAATCCCTATGGTACAAATAACTAGTTTTATGTTATCCAGCTTTTATTGCCTATCAAAGTGATAAATGTGTGCTGTGATCATTAGCGTGAATAAATCGACGTCGTTAGACAAGTTATTTAAAGACAGGTAGTTAATGGTGATCAGTGGAAATCCTGCATAACAGTTGTCAATAATGATTATCAGTAATTTAAAATAGACCAATCAATTCTATACACTTTGAACCGCACAACAAACAATTAGAATGTTGAATAAGTTTCCCTCAAACTATTTAAGTCTTTACTAATCTTCTTTAGGCCGGAAACACTCTATTTCATGATTTCTAATGTACCACATAGTAAACGGCCTTCAGTTCCCCATATAGGATATATTATTGGTTAAGTTTTTTTCCTACAAACCCTATTAAACTATTTTATCTTAAAAAAGGAAACTATGTGAACCAATTTTTTAATTTGATCTCTTTTTTATATTCAAAGATTGTTAAGAGATCACAAAACTGCTCACAGTTGATTTAGTGAATTGAAGAAAAACAAAAGAGAAGAGAATAACATTATTATAACTATATGGATAAATAATATGACTATGAATATGTAAATTTAAAATGATGTATAGATTTTTATCATAATCCCAATCTCTCAATTTTGGGGGAAATTTCGGATTCTCCTCCCCCACCCCGAAAAAAATTGGGGGGGGGGAGATCGGGATGTTAACAATGTTGTAAACTTTTAAAATAAATTGTAGTTTTGATCATTTTAGTTATGTGATAAGTTGCTAACTATTTATTATTATCGGAAAAAACAGAATCGTTTTTAATATCTAAACAGTGATTAAATTAAACTATGATCCTTTATGATATGATTTATAGAGAAATAAATATAGGATTTCACAGATTGAAATCATGAGTCATTTGAAGCTAGACCACCATGGAAAGCCTGGAAGCACTGAAAGGCCGTTTCGTCCCAGTACGGGACTCCTCAGCAGTGCGCATCCACGACCCCGCGCCCCACGGGATTCGAACCCAGGGCCTAATGGTTTCGCGCGAGAGCACTTAACCATTAAACCACTGAGCCGGCATCCAACGGTGTTAATGTCTAACTTCAATTGACTCATGATTTCAACCTGTGAAGTTTGTAAAATCTCCACAAAACCCATTTTGAAAATATAGGATTTGTATAAAATAGGATTATTGATTAATGATTTTCTTTTATAGACAAATCATTACATGTAGTCAACTATACCGTTAGCATTTTTTACATAAAGTGATCCTATGAACAAGAAATGGTTGCGCTTGCATTTAAACATGTGCATCATTTGAACAAGGCTTGGTGATATACAGGTAAGGTGGTCATACACGGGATTAAACTTTATGGGTTTCATCCTTCATGCAAGAGTTGTGCATCTGAAATAACCAGGAATTCAATACTACAATGAAATGAAGATATAATTATATCGTGTTTTAAACGGTGGTCTAGTTAACATAGATTAATGACGTAAACTGTTATATTTCGATGAGAATAATGAATGGTAACTGTTGGAATCCATTTATGGATCAATACTGTACGTATATATTCATTGTATAATTGTTAAGTAACTAAACTATCCATATTAGTGTCTATCTTATTATGAGCTTTATTGTGACCTATGAAGTGTTATTATACGATTTAACATTATTAAGTTATTCCCAGTATATTAATTACAGTCTTCCAAATTCACAGACACATTTGGCTAAATATTGTACAAATGTTGTTTCCTATTTTACAGTACGATGTGGTTTGTCTGGTTGGTATATAAACCGAGTATGTTTGAAACAAATGAATCGTATCTCATAGGCTGAGATTTGTATTCTGGACGTAACAGGCAGGACTAGGCTGGAACCAGAAACTATAAGGACTCTGGAACGCTCGTAGGGATGTTATATGTCATTGACCCGATCGATAATTCACTGTTCTCTAATTGGCGGTATCATCACGTTATACATTAATAGGACACAGAGCACAAGTTATAACATAAACAATACGTAATAATTCACTGAGTAATGCTTGCTTGTATCTATCTATTGTTATTTAGGACTGCAATTAATCAATCTCTTATTGGTATATGTGCATACTGTGCGTATTGTCTCGATATTACCTTAAGTCACAAGCATTTTAAGCAAAGATCGATAGTGGCTAACAGTGTAATCCAGGACGCTTGTCTCGTCTTATTCGAGACTCACTAGTTGGATGTACGTTCATCTTAAAATTGATATTCACTCAGAAACTCGGATCCAGTACTATTCTCTTTAAATACCATCACGTTATCTACTCAGCTACTGAGTCTTACAGTTCTACAATGAACATCAACTCTGAGATGTAAGTTTATCCAGTTGATGAGTTTCAAATAGAACAAAACGCTCATCAAACTAGATTTTCACTGCTAACCATTATCTATCTTTGTTTATATTTCTGATTTTACTATTTCATTACTGTGAAAAAATCAATTGAATTAATAACAATAAAAAGAAAGAATATTGATATACTTGAAATGAAATGAAAAATTAAAACCTAGAAACATTGAATAACCATTTTGTCCTAGTTTCATATTCACAAATAATAATCATTATTCATTTGATTAATTTATACAAGGTTAAGGAATTAAGAATAATTTAATTTTGTTTATTTGTTTGTTTGTTTATATGTTCACTATAAATTTACTTACAAAATGTGATAGATTAACGTTTTAACTTTAATAGACCTTTAATTATATTTTTCAATAGTTGAGATCATGAATCAATTACAGCTAAATTACCATGAAAAAACATGGAAGCATTAAATGACTGTTTTGTCCTATTGTGGGACTCCTCAGTAGTGCATAAAAATCGATAAATGTTAGATCATTATTGATAATTTGAAAGTATTAGACGGCTGTTTTGTTCTATTTTATAATTCTTCAGTTGTAAGTATCCATGATCCCATAAGTGCAATTTGAAAAAGAATATGATTGTTAATCATTGATTATTCTAGATAGTTATTATGCTAGACCATACACTGATTGAATGGTTTCAAAGTTATTTTGTTGATTCAGTATCTCAACTCTCAAACAAATCAAATGATTTATGTGGTTCATATCTATTTGATGCCTCTTTGTACCAATGTTTATGTGTTTAAATCAGTAAATAATTTCAATGTTTGAGATTATGAGTCCATTGAAGCTAGACTACCATGGACAACTTTGAAGCACCGGACAGCCCTTTCGTTCTGTTGTGGGACTCTTCAGTAGTGTGAATCCACGATGCCACCTCGTGAGATTCGAACCCAGGACCTATCGACCTCGCACGCGAACACTTAATCTCTAGGCCAGCATCCAATGGTGTTAATGTCTAACTTCAACTATTTCATGAAATTGAGTGACACATCCGCTATTTCGATAATGTAATAAGAAGTCTTCTTATTATATTATCGAAATTTATCAAAGGGATCAATTGCTTTAAAGATCCGCTATTGTCTTCAGTGAGTTACTATCTCACAACAGACGCGGTTGAATTTCATTGCTTCCAGCTTTTCCGCGATGATCCAGCTTGAATTGACTATTGATCTCAACGATTGTAATTACTATAATATCCACAAAAAACCCTCCTGATATAGATAAACAAATAAATAAATAACAGTCTTAAGTGAAATTATAAGCACTATTTTTCTCTTTTATCTGTCTATCTCTCCGGTTTTAAATAGTATCCAAATTGATATCATTATGTAATAAACAATAACTTCAGAGATTTTCAATTTAAATATAATTCAAGTTGGTGAGTCTTTACATAATAAGTTTGATAGAATGAACTCATGACAGTATACAATTTCCCTAAGTGTTATTTATTAGAAGACAGTGTTATATTATAACTATATGGAAGTATAATTGATAGAAGTTGCAAAGTAGATACTAATTAATATGTTTATTTATTATCAGAATAGGGATTTGTGGAGATTGTAGTAATTTTATTAGTTTTGTTTGTGGGTTCATGTAAACTAGACCACCATTGAAAACCTGGAAGCAACGGACGACCGTTTCGTCCTAGTATGAGACTCACCAGCATTGCACATCCACGATTCAAAACGTGGGACTCTAATCCACAACCATCAGTTTCGCTCATAGACGCTGAACTTCTAGAATATTGAGACGATACCCATCAGTGTTAATGTCTAACTTCAATCGATCCATGATCTTGCTCATTCCTTCATTTATTGTCTTCGGTGAATAACTGTCTCATACCCTACGCGGATTTGACTCCACTGGTCACTGTTGCTCATTAGAACTCCACGAAATCCATCTTGAAATTAGTCACTAATGAGCATATGATTATAATCATTATTATTCTTATTATTATTATCATGTACATAATAAATGAAATATCAATTATAGCAAACAGGTAGTTTTCATTCATACTAGTTTTGTTTCTTCTAATCATAGGATATTACCCCTGTTCTTAATTGTCATTTCCCACAGAGTTTTTTTTCAATGACTAAACATCTAAACTATAAAATTTTCACCTAATGTCAATAGAATTTAACAGGAATATTGAAAAAACAATCTCCAGTGTAATCCATAAATATAGACAAATATCTAAAGGGGATTGAAGCTAACAAGAATGAACAATAATTCTTCCTTATCAACTAGGCAAGATATTTTGTTTTGGTTTTGCATTAGAATAAGTCATATCAAAATAACACCTATGATTGTTTCATTTTGATTAATGTAGTGTATTGTTAAGTTGAATTTAGTTACAATAATGTAAATATGTATATATATATATATATATATATATATATATATATATATATATACATATATCAGATAACACTTCTCCTCATTTATTCCATTAAAAGTCTCTGCTTGTATCATTTCATTTGTTGTCATTCTAAAGAAATAAATGTATGAATAGGAAATGTCAATTAACTTATATTATAACTGTTGTGATGAATGAAAACAAAGTCGGTAACAACCAAATGTACTTTAATAATAACATTACAGAATATCATGGTAAAATTTGAGAACCATAGAGTAAATATTTCATTTGCAAAATATCTATCAAATCTCTTAGACTTTGTTAGTTATTCATTTCTATATTAATCACACTCTGTTCTCATTCTGTTCTTAGTGATTTTCCTAACCCTTTTCCACTAGACATCCCACATCCTATTGTGACTATTAATGTTATTATTAATTAATTTATGCCTTGAATTTTTTAAGCGTCTGATGTAGCCGCTCAAATAATATACATAGTGTATTTATTTATTAACTAAAACAAATCGGATATCAAATTATTCTGTAGGTTCAAATTCCATAGTGGGCATCAATTCAGTTAGACGCAGGTGCATCTAACTGACGAGTCTCAAATAGGACGAAACGCGCATCACACTGGATTCCACTATTAGCCATCATTATTTAAGCTTATAAGCAATTAATATTCTGTGCTACTTTGTACTTATGTGTTTTTAGTTGGTAAAAAATATCTTAAAGATAATAACCTGAAATGTAGCTCAAGTAAGTTGTGTTTTTTAAAAAACCTTTAGATAGAATTAAATAAAATTTGGTACTTTTCATAATTCAGTTGAGATTACGGAGCGATCAATCTCAGACCACAATTCAAAACCTGAAAACATTAGGCGACTGCTTCGTCTCAGTATGAGACTTCTCAGTAGTGCACACCCACAATCCTTCATGCGGGACTTGAACCCAGGACCTTCAGCCTCATGATCTCAAATTAAAGTTGATACTTTTCAAATTACTGAAAATGAAATAAATGATTTCGATCATGTGTTGAATGAAAAATATTTCGTTTTTCTTCCACTACCAAACATGAAAAAGAGTGACTTTAATGGTTAGACAGTAAGTTGTTTCAAAATTTACTCAAGTATTATATAATATCGGTTATTTATGTTTGATGAAACTGATATGACAGAAATTTCATCGATCTGTAGTTTCGTATTTTCCCATTTGAATTCATTTCCTTAGTTGTTTACATCGTATCATTTCATTGATAGTTTGTGTTGGTGTTTCCATAAGTGAAGTGCGTGACCATTTCGTCCAACATAGTGGTTTGTCCATAACTAATAGTGATACTTACATATTTACCATCACTGTAAAAGCCAGAATTTAATGTTTACTGATGGAGCAACTAATTTTTTCTAGAAATATAGACGTTCATTTACCGGTTGATGAGGGTTTGAATTCACGAGGGAAAATTAGTTTCTTCATATAATAGGTATGCTTGTCAAATCTATCTCAACTAACACGAAACCTAAATCTAGGTTTTTCTGTCCACTGCCTTCAACCATTTAATATCTCATATTCTATATAACAATGTTACCTCTATTACTAAAAGATAAAGCGTAAGTAGTATTTTGTCAATCCAATAAAATAATTTTTAATCACAAAACATCATCACTATCATACATAGATCTCTTCATTTAACTTTTATTAATTACACAGCAACATTTCATGGTTACTTAAAACTATAAATAAAACAAACCATTGATCTTATGATATTTAATTGACACTTGTTTTTCTAATCATGACAAATAGGAAGAATGTAAGAAATTTATCGACTATGTAGCACTTACTCTCATAAATTCAACACTTGAATCCAATGGATTATCCCGATGAAACAACAGAATAAAATTTTCTTCAGTTGGTAAAATTTTAGCCATCTACATTATAGAGGATAGAAAAAGAAATGGTAACATATTATTATAAGAAAGTGTTCAGTCATAATTAGCTGTTTATTCATTTAATTGTTACTATCAGTAAATAGTACAGAAGGAACAATATTCCATAAACAATAATTATTGACTTTTGTTAGAAATTGTGACCTGTGTGTCCTGTTTATTGTATAACGTAACGATACCGCAGTGAATTATCGATCGGACATATGACGTGTAAAACCCATGCGAGCAGTCTAGAGTTCTTATTGGTCCTGCTTTCTGCATAGCCAAGCCATTTAAATCCAGAACACCAATCTCAGCCTCTGCGTTATGAATCCTAAAAGTTACCATTCACTTTGCTTATCGGGGCATAACAACTTTGTTTATTTATTGTTGAAATTAGATTGATATTATTTTCAATTTTGTTGGAAAATGAGGTGATTGTAATTAGTTACTTAAGTTTAATCAATTATTCCATGGTTCAATCAGGATAGTTGTAAGACAGTTAGTTATCTACCACAGGCAATGACAGATGGTTGCGTTATATCGTGGTTTGATTGCATTAAGATTTATACACTATTAAATCATGGCTCACTGGTCTATAGGTTAAGCGTTTACACACACGACTAAACTTTACGGGTTCTATCCTCCATGAAGCAGTCGTGCATTTGCAATAACCAGAAATCCTATACGACAACGAAATGGAGATAGAGTTATATCTGATTTCGAACGATGGTCTAGTTAACATAGGTTAATGGTGTAAACAATGACAATTTATTAAATTTTCACAAAACTCTATACTGAATACTTCATCCCCAACTGATTTCACATAGCGAATCACTAAACATTAGAAAAAAACTGTTCCATTTTAATGTATATATAAATTCTAATTGTGAATATGGGAACAAGTGACCAGTATGCAACAAAATGAACGCATTTATTCATAATGCAGTTCAGTCGTCATTGTATACTATCGAGTGATATTATCTTAGTAAACATAGACTGATCAATGATGAGATAGACACCAAACACTGTTGATCAAAACAATCTGATTGTATTCAACCAGTCATCATGGAAACATGTAATTTACCAATTAATCTTCTGATCGAACTCTATTCATAATGAGAAGTGAATGAGATGTTATTGATTACGACCATATAATGGGTTAGAGTCTACACGTGTAAAGTGTTACATGTCTTTTTAATTTGGTTATTTATTCTCTGAAGAAGTGACTTACACTAAGCCACGAAACGTCAGAAAAATCCAATTTTCTACTCATTGGAATATTACAAATATATTATTTTTATTTGCTACATGTCTTGTTGACGTTAAGTTACAATCCTTGTGTTTAGATTTACAGCTGATAACGCAAAGCATCATTTGAAGAATTTATCAGAGGCCTTACTTGGATTCATCATTTTAGATAAGGGCTGTGCACTCTCTCTATTCTTGTTTAATTTTGTCGTTGACGTGCTTTTAGAGATGACACTTTCCTCAGTTAAATTTCCAGGGGTGGAACTTCTACCGGAAGATTCACTCTGACTTAGAATATGCTGATGACATAGTTCAGTTTGGTGAAGATGCTGACAAAATCCAGAATCTTCTGGCTACTATAAGCAACAATGCAAGCACGTTCGGGATGAGAGTCTACCCATTCTCAAGATGCAAAATGTTGATTCGGGATTGGGTCTCATCGACACCTGAACTAACAATAGTGAGTGAAGTAATTGAGCGTGTCGACCTCTTCACTTATCTTGGAATTCTCATCAGCCCTTGTGATCTGGTGTGTGACGAAATCTCAGCACGGATTCGGAACGCTCGACTGGCTATTCCAAATTGCGTCATTTATGGCGTAGGCGAGATATCTGTCTATCAACAAAAGGACGGGTTTACTGAGCAGCAGTTCGTCCCGTCCTACCACATGGCAGTGAAACATGGCCGGTAAGAGTAGAGGATATTCGTAGGTTACTAGTATTCGATCATAGGTGTCTTCGAAATATTTCTCGTATATCCTGGGACCATCGAGTAAGTAATGCAGTTGTTAGGAAACGGGTACTAGATAAAGATGGCAAATCAATTGATGGAGCAGTAGAACTTGATCAGTTGAGATGGCTGGGACACGTGTTACGTATTCCCAACCACCGACTGCCGCGACGTGTGATGTTTTATGGTGTAGGAGAAGGTTGGAAGGAAGCTACAGGTGGCCAGACCAAAACATGGCACAAATCCATGAAGTCACTGACAAGTGGACTGAGTTGTGTTGGTAAGTTTAGACTAACTGGTTGGGATCCACAATACGATAGCAACCGATGGTTAGAAACGTTGAATGACATGGCTGAAAATCGTTTGCAATGGCTCAAATGCATCCACTCTTTGTGTTCTCACAAATTCTAATCTTCTGAATTCGCCATATTGCTCAATTTTTCTCTTTTCATATTCATTTCGCTGGATTATACTACTTGGATAACATCTTCAAACCCTAATGTTTCCGATTACTGCTTATGCTCTTACCACCCCTACCATTATGGGATTTGAATCAACAACTGCATCTCTGTGCTGATGTGGTATCGCAACTCGAACTGATATACGTAAGTACGAAGGTCTACGTTATTACTGACTGACTGACATCATTTTAGATTATCATAACAATACTAATACTAATAATAATATTACTAGTAATAAATATTACAATAATTTAAAAAATTATCATGTCTACGCTTATTTTTCCCGCCTTGTTTTCTATATTTGTCCCTGATATTCATCGCTTTGTCATATCACCTAAATACGGCTTACAAATGTTAAGTCAATCGTCTAAAATACGTTTCTCTGTGTACTGAGCTTATCTAAAATAATAATGATAGTAAATGTTGATCTTTCTTTTGAGAATTTGTCATATATATATACATATATGTTCTGCTCGAAAATGTACACACATTCGAATGGGTGCATCTATCCATACATTTGATAGATTCGCTTATGAATAATTCAGTCTATTTACCTAGAACGTTATAATCAATTGACTGTCATCATTGTATCATCTTCCTATTTTTATTCTCATAAAAACATACTTAAGTGGACAGATCAAAAACAAATGTTTAATGGATTAAAACTAACTGTGAGAAGAAGAACATAATCTGAGATAATTTCTGACATAGAATACAATGTCCACTACCACCACCACTACTACTACTACAACTATTATTATTACTACCTAAACGTACTTCAGTAAGCTCAATTCGATTGTCAGAATTTTCATCGAATGCCTCCATAAATTCTTTTTTCATCAATTCCAACTCATCGCTAGGTATTGTCTAGGAGAAAAATAGAGATAATTGAAAGAAAAAAGTGACAAAGATAAAAACACTTCACATTTAATCAAGTTGAATAAATTGAATAAATTGCGAACTTGAAAATAAAGGGGAACAAAGTAAATTACGATTATTATTATTATTATTATTATTATTATTATTATTATTATTATTATTATTATTATTATTATTATTATTATTAGATTGGATTGATATTGTGAGTGGATCAATATTAGACCATCATTGAAAACCTAGAAGCATTGGACGGTCATTTCTTCCTAGTACAGAACGAAATTACTTTTTCAGGTTTTCAGTGATGATCTAACATTGATCTATTCATAATATCAATCTAAACTCAACAATCTGCATAACTCTATCATTAGATTGTTGAACGGAATGTTTCTTATATCTTGTTTGAAGAGTAGTTAAGAAAGGAAACAGGCAAATTTTCAACCTGACAATTTAATGTTATCTAATGTTAACCACACTTTATTTTATAGTAATATGTAAGTCAATAAAACTAGTAACATTTTTCAAAGATAAACTAAGTAGTTACTTCACAAAGCTTATTAATAAATAATGAAGTGTTCTAATTATGCATGCAGCATTTTATTTAAAATTGTTATCCTTTATTATCTGAAACTACCTACTGAATACTTTCAACCAATCAGGGGGTAAATAGTTTGTGGAGATTGATGAACTTTGTAGTCAGCATCATGAATGAATCGAAGTTAGATCTTTCAAAAACGAAGAATTATTCTAGACAGCTATTTCGTCCTAAAATGTGACCTCTTAGTAAATGTAAACTATAACGTACAGTAATTGTTTGAAATGTTTTATTTCATCATTAATCATGTATACAGTGGTGACTAATTTCAAGGGGTAATTCCTCAACCTCTAGTGAGAAACTGTGACCAGTTAAATTCAATAGTATCTCATATGAGGACTTTTCCCCCCACTGAGATGATCTCACAATGTTGCAAATTGAATGAAAATACGAGTGTGTAGACCGTTGATTACCAAGTAAATTGTCATAAGGTTTTAAACTAGATTTTGGAGAAGAGACTTCTGGGCTCGACCCCGATATTCAGAGTTTTTGTACCATCATCATAATTTTGATTATATTTTAATACGAAAGATCATTTACGTAAAATTCAGTAAAATCTCATTGTCGCACGTACTAAAAAACATTATGGATATATGTGCTTCAATAGCTAAATTCATGAGTCGATCTACCCTAGACCACCGTTGGAAACCTGGAAGCACACGACGGCTGTTTCGTCTTCGTATGGGATTTGTGAGCAGTGTGCATCCACGATCCTGCACACGGAATTCTAATCCAGGACCTTCGGCATTGCTCACGATCGCTTAGCCTGTAGACTACTGGGCCGGCTCCCACTGTATTAATATCTAACTTAAATCCCGCATGCGGATTGTGGATGCGCACTGCTGAAAAATCCCATACTAGGACGAAACGGTCGTCCAGTGCTTTCAGGTTTCTAATGATGGTCTAGCTTAAAACGACTCATGAATTCAACTATTAAATTACCATAATCTTCACAAACCCTCATTCTGATTACTATATATATGTTATGTACTCAATATTGCGAAACGTCGCTTGTTGAGGAGACAGTGGAAAACAGTGTCATGAATGATAGTTTCAGCAGCCGTTCCCATTATCCGCACCTGAATAGAGAAGAAATATGACCTTTCGATTTCATTACCAGTAAGATCATATTTAATCATTCTGTCTGTGTCTGTTTATTATCGCTTATATAGTTATCGACCAGAATGAAACATTAATTCATATTAAATTTCATATTAAGTCCTTCGGCTGACCGGTACACGGTTGGTATTAGAATATTAGGCAAGACTACAATTTATGGACGAACCAATCGGATTTAAGATATCAGGACTCGGATTTCATCGTGAAATTCATCCACCCATTTGTCTAAATAGAGTTTTGGCATTCTAGCTGATGTCAGTTCGTGATGAAAACCATAAATCTAATTGCTAACTTTAACTATAAATCATAATCCTTATTCTTCCCACTGCCTTATAACCCTCATTTAATTCTAGTTAGTATGTGAATACTCTCAATGTCACTTTAGTGTTGCTCAAAAATCGTCCATAAATTATAGTCTCACCAAATACTAAATTCACAATATAACTATATACATATATTATACGATATTATTTTATATATTCATATGATCAATGCAAACATGTTGATGAATATAACGTGGAATCTGACTATTGCTAACCGAAAGATACCTAGTTAAGTGTTAAATAAACAATATTTAAGATATATATATATATATATATATATATATATATAACTTGGACTGCTCAGCAATGCGCATCCACAACCCCATTTCGTGATATTCGAACCTAGAACTTATTAGTCTCGCGCGTGAATGCTTAACCTCTAAACCACTAAGCCGGCCAGTATCCAACAGTGTTAATTTCTAACTTCATGGGTTTGAATTTTGTGAGGCGAAATCATAGTTGTTCACTACTGATGAGTCCCACACTAGAATGAAATGGCCATCCAATCTTTCCAGATTCTCCATGGTAATCTAGTTTCAATTTATTCATGAATTCAACTATTAAAACTCCTAAAATCTCCACAAAACTCCCTTTTAATAATAAAAAATAACCATTAAAATTACACTATTTATTTATTATATGCTTATTTTATTATAACACTATTTAAATAGATAAAAGGTATATATAACACATACAATATTCTATAGATAGTAAATACATAAAAATGAATGAATTTTTTTCTTCTTTTTTTCTTTTCTTTTCTTTTTTTTCTTTGTTTAAAGTTTTATATTCCCTATAACTGAATTGTGTCTCTTTTATCACACACATGTTCATATGAATATTGTTTCTCATGAGTATGAGAATAATAATAAATTATAATGGTGTTTGATAAGTGAAAAACAAAAAACAAAAAAAAACACAAAATTTAAATTTTATACTCAATTAAGTTCTTATTGTCTCTGGGATAGAAAAAAGAAAAACAAAAAAAACATTTTTTTTATTATTATTTCATAATGTTTCATTTGACTTATTGTTTGGAGTGGTTGTTTTGGTAGTTTTAAATTTATGAGAAAAAAACTAACAAACAAACAAACAAACAAACAACGATAAATTTTCATTTTTGAAGTTAAACACTTTTTTTATGGATAGCATGTGATAAGTCAACTAAATAAATACATTTTATGAGAATGGGGATTTTTGGGGCAGTATTGTAGTAGTAGTAGTAGTAGTAGTAGTAGTAGTAGTAGTAGTAGTAGTAGTAGTAGTAGTAGTAGTAGTAGTAGTAGTAGTATTGTAATAGTTGAGTTCACGAGTCAATTATGGATTGATTGAAGTTAGATATTAACACTGATGGATGACAATTAAGTTGTCTAGAGGTTAATCGTTCATAAGCAAAAACAAAAGTCCTGGATTCAGCGCCCACATACGGGATCGTGGGTATGTACTACTGAAGAGTCTCATACTAGGACGAAATGGTCGTTTAGTGGTTTTAGGTTTTCAATGGTGGTCTAGTTTAAGTGGACTGATGAATTCAATTAGTAAAAATACAATTTAACCTTGAAATTTCTGCATAATCTTGTTGATTTATAGATATAATAGCCATATTTAACAAAACTATTATCAGAAATAAATGATACATTGAAGCTTATTTCAATAGTATAAAATGAACAGTTTCAATTTTTATTTCTTTATAAGTTGTAGATAAATCCCACGAAATTTACTTTTATACGTCATAGTGGATAATGAACAGTTAAGTAATTAAACAGTTTTCATTAAATAATAAACAATTTTGATCAACATCTTTTAATCAATTGAACTGGTACTATTTACATATCATCCATTCTGAAATAAGATAGCTTTGTGACGGTCTCCTCGAATATCCAGGATACCTGTTCCTACCATCTAGATATATCAACAAGTTATATGTCTTTTGTATGCTTCATCAGATCATTATATTAATTAATTGCACAACCTATTCAGCTAAAATGTTCACAACCTTTCACTGTACAAGTTAGGAAACAGCACAATCAGAGACATTGTGGCGGTTGACAATATGCATTGAAAAGAATGAACATTAATTCATAAATCGATTCGTAAACTGCTAACATTTAACTGGTAGATCAAGAAATAATAAAAGGAAATTTATTGGAATACTATGTGCTGAGAATTCTATATTATACCAAAAATATAATATTGAATAGTCTTTAATAATAATAATAATTTGTTAGGATGATATTGCTAGAATCTTTAATAATTTATAACTTTTACTAGGTTGACTCGATTAGTGTCAAAAGAATAAAAGTAGATTGACTAGGGTAAGACACAAATGTCCACTTAGGTCAACTGTGAGTCATTTTCTTATTGGTATTAACGGTTAGCCATTATGTTATATTTTAAATTGACTAAAGTTGAAGTATGTGAATGATTCGAAACCTTATCGAACAACTTAACATCATGGTATTTGTCACAAGACTTAAAATTTCAAACTTTTATCATATCGGGTTATTATAGTTCAAAATTTAAACAAATCAGGTATTTAAGCAAAAAATGGATAGTGGCCAGAAACGGATTCCAGTTTGACGTATATTGCTTCTTATATAGGACTCGTCAGCCGGATATACTTGCATCGCTGAGTTGACGTTCACTCTGGGACTCGAAATCAAACTCCATCTCCTTGTCCACTTAACTACTGAGTCCTGATAGCCACTTGCTTGTGCAATGGATATATCCATGTAATAGGACGAAACACGCATCCTGGATTCCACTCCTAGCCATCATCCATCTCTCCATATGATGCTTGTGAATTAAGGCAATAGGCACAGTATGCACATATACCAATAAGAGACTGATCAATTGCAGTTCTAAACATCAATGGAAAGATTCAAATATACAATCCCAGCTGAATTTAATTCAAGTATTTAATTTAATTTAATTATTCACTGAATGCTGTTAGTCTTTGTTGAAAACTACCTGTATACAACTAAAATCTTTTCTTTGATTTTATTACTCATTAGTTAACAACTAAAATGTTGACTTCAGTGATAATAAAAATAAGACAAGAGATAAACATTATTTGTTTTACTGAGAGTACTAATCTTTTTATGGAATATAACAATTCATCTTCTTGACTATTGAAAATAAATAAACAATGATGAATAGTGGATAGCAATGGAATCCAGTTCGGTGGGCGTTTCGTCTTATTCGGGACTCGTCATCTAGATATATCTTTATTTCCGAGTTAATGTTCACTCCAGGACTCGAATTCAGTACCATTCACTTCATTCATCATCGTGTTATTGAGTTAGCTACTGAGTCCAGATAGCCACGGGTTCGTGCAGTACGGTATTAGCCACCAACCATTTCTACTTATAATGTATGTGACCTAAGGTAATATCAAGGCAATCTATACAAGTTCTAAACATCAACGGCAGTAATTAAACAACCAATACAATAATGAATTAATCTTATACTTAGTCTCAAAATTGAATAATAAAGTTAATGAGTTTAACTATAACCTATCGTAATTTTATTGTACAAATGACGTCTTTCATTCTAATTATTGAATAGGAAACATTCAATGAAGTCAAACAGATTACTATTTATGCAAACATAAATGTATATATATATTTAACAACAATGACACATTTACTATTATTGTCTTACTATAAACTGGTCTATCATCAATAATCTCAACAGAGTATTATCAGTTCTTTTTTCCTTTACTTGGATGCTATAATATGTTCATACGGCGACTAATAATTAGTTTCCCTAGACCATATTTATTCAAACGAAATTAATTAGTGATTGAATGATGTAATCAATTATTCATTCATTGGTACTATATATGTACGTATCATAAAAAACCTTTCTATTTGTCTTTTCTTAATGATTTCATATGATATATTGTATCTTCTTAATTTTTTAATGATCAAATACAGTAAGTGATAAGCAAATGATGTGACAGTTTATTATTACATATGACAAACTTGATTCTTCTACCATTCAAAGTTTAGTTTTAAGGGTAATTCTAATCGATGTTTGATTGATTTAGATTCGAACAGTGCGACAGATAATCTTCATGTACTAGGATAAACTAAAGAGTTAGGAAAATTTAAGAAGTATGCTTAGTTCATGTCTGAATATTTCTACTAGTCCACACTTATCATTTCATGTAGTAACGAATATAGTACCTACAAATCATATAGAGAAGTAATCCTTACCAATATTATTAGAATGACAACTGTATTACACATAGAGCTGTTTAAATGCATTGTGCCTCAGTTCATACACATCAAGTAATTTGAGGTACTTAATTTTCACCCATTATAGTCTGATTAGTGAACTGTGCTTTGAAATTCATAGCAGGTATACTGAGCTATTCACTTTTCACCGATGTCTTTTTCTTGTTTAAAATTACTCTTTATTAAGTTCGTCAGTAATTATAATTCTGTAACAGATTCTCTTGACTGTGTAAAGACAGTCATGTTGTTGTTAACTGTCTACCGCATATTGTATTTAATTAAAGTACGTTTATTATCTTTATAAGAATATCACTGTGTACAATTAAGTAATAACTTTAAACTACTAAAATGGATTATAAAAGTTAATTATGTTATGTATTTGGTGAGACTATAATTTATGGACGAACTAATCAGTTTGGGATAACGGGTTTTGAATTTCGGCGCGAAACCCATTTATCTATTTGACTAGATAACGTTTTAGAGTTCTAGATGATGTCAATTTGTGATGAAAACCATAAATCTAATTCCTAACCTTAACCATCAACTGTAAACCATAATCCTTATTCTTTACACTGTTTTCTAACCCCTATTTAGCCCTAGTGAGTAGGGGGATGTTCTGAAGATCAGTTTAGCGTTGTTCAATGGTCGTCCATAAATTATAGTCTCACTAGTTATTTCGATATAATCACATCAATTAAGCTTTTTTATTTTAAACTGATTTCTTAACAAGAACATTACTATCCATACGAAAGTCATAAAAAACAATGAAACTGATAACTTAATAAAGTACTTTGCAATTGTCTCGTAATGTAAATTTCAGGATCAGTGAAATATCGCTGAGCCCTAGCCGAATCATTTCACTATTGGGCCACTGAATATCGAATAGTTCATTGATCCCCGTCAAGGTCTAGCACATCCAACGCGCATCAGTTAATCTTACTCCATGGACTGGCCCATACGGTAGTGGTCACATTTTTGTTTGTAACTACTCAAACTAGTATATTTCTGCGATAACGTCCTTTGTGTTATACGGCCATCAAATCAGCAATAGTATCTTGATACGACGAAGGGGTAAACCGGTCTAGGTGCTGATTGCTAAGTGTAACTTCGAAGTAAGATGTTGGTTGCACCATCCCCCCCTCAACCATTATTATTATTTTTTTGATTTCTCACTAATTAGTATCAAACACCCGTTGAATAAAACGTTATCATTCAAGTTGAAAATGTACTTATTAAGTAGCTCGAATTAAGTAGTAGATTAAAATTAAAATGTATTAACACCATTATCTACCGAACTACATCATAGTCTTCAATATAAGAGAAAGGCAGAAATGATCTCTATGTTGTTATTTGAATTTAGCTTTGCTTTTTTATTATTTATGAGTTTAATTTTCTAATGAATCCTTCTATCTCCAAGTTGGTAGTATAGAATTTTTGTTGAGATCATGAATATTTTTCTAGTTAAAATGACGAACTTGATTTAACTTTGTGATCATCAACCATTCTTATTAGTGGTACTTGTTTGACGCCGAACATAGCTGAACTTCATTGATTGCAGTTTCTTACGAAGAAAACTCATGAAGTTTTGAGAAAGGTGCTGAAACCATTGGAGTTTCATTAGGTCGAACTTAAGATGACCAATGAATGATATTAATACAATAATCCGAATAGATTGAATTTAGAAATGTGAACAACTGAATTCTAATACTTTAAAGGTAATATACTCACCATGTACCTGAAAGTCCTAGATCATTAAGGTAGAGAGATTTTACATTAGTACAAAATAGTTATCTTTGAATTCTTTTTAATTTATAAACAAAGTGGATGTATTTTCTTAGTGTTCTAGAAAGATTAGACATCTTCTACATCATTGTACTACATTATAACCGATCCTCATTCATTTACTAAGTTATCCACGACCTATATAACAAGTATACATATTTATTAGATTTTCTAGGAATATAGAAGATTAAAATAAAAGTTTGATAACATATAAACTTACTGTAGTTCACATTACCAGTCAAAGAAAAATATTCAGCGTATCAATGTTATACCCTTTGATTTCTAGTCATTCATTAGTGAGTTCACTGAGTAATGATAAATTATTACGTTTTGGAGTCTCTAAATGTTATAACCAATTCAAATGTTTCTATGAACCCAATTATATTACTCTGATTACTTAAGTAAGTAAGCCTACTAGAGATACTCACTATATTTTGGAACATTATTTCTTAATATTAACTAAATGATAAATAATGACATCAAGAAACAATATCCTTGTGAATTTAGTTGAAACCAGACATTGAATTCACGTAGAAATACTTTTCCAATCTATCCAAGAATATATGATCAATATCTAGTTTTCTTTGTATACAGAGGGAGATATATGATCCCAAATATTTTTTCCATAAGACATTTCTATAACCTCCTTGACTATATATTATCTATTCACTAAATAAAAATAACTCCTCATATTCTGATAATCGATTGCTTCCTGATTTATAATTTGATTCATTTTGTTAACTTCCAAATGCCCTGGTACGACCGAGGGTGAAGACAGTTATCACTCCCTTCACAAATGCTCTCACATGGTTACGCGTATACAGCCACTACCAGGGAAGTCCTACTCACTGCTTCATCACGTTATTACTGTTGTTCACGAAATTTAGAGGATGAAAAGCGAATATCCGGTGCTTTAACCTGTGGTGCAAATGGGCTTTAGTATTCTGAAGGAACAACTGGCGTACGAATCACCGGCTACCATGGGAAAGCATCTCCCTACGATTCTCCACTGCCTTATGGATCAGACCTTTAGGCCAAAGGCTCCGGATGTGGTTCTTCAAGAAAAACATCCATTTCGGTCTGGGCGCCCGGACAGTATCACAGTCCACACAAATCAAATGACTTGTGTGACGCATATGTATTCGTTACCTCTTTGTACCAATATTTATGTATTGAAATAAAATAAATAAATAAATTAATAACAATTTTAATAGTTGAAATCATGAGTCAATTAAAACTAGACCATCATGGAAAAGCTGAACGCACTTGACGGCCGTTCTGTCCTATTGTGGGACTTCTCAGCAGTGTACATAACACTAAATACAATATATAGACTGTTAACTAATGCCTAGTTACAGAAAGAAACAAATGTTTTATATAGAAAACGTGTGATTTACTTTCATCAGTTAAATAAGATCAATCCTAAACATTTCAATATAAATCATGAATCCATATTAATTAAAGAAATACTTCACACTTACCTCATTTCCTAATTCTTCAGAAAATACACTATAGATGAATTCACGTAGAAAATTGTCCAATTCCGAACCTTCAATATAACCATTGCCTATTGAATTTTAAATAGAAAAATACAAGAGAATTGTAATCAATTAATTTTTTTATTTAACTTAATCACTTCAATTAAAGTAGCTTATAAAATTCGTAAAAATCTACATTGATTTCTTCGAAATCAGTAATAGTAAAAGCACTTGCCACTTTTGAGATGAATCCAGAGCTATGCATAGAAAAGAAGTACATTTTATTCTGGGTTCAAGTCACACAGTGAACATCAACTCTGAGATGCAGGCACATCCAACTGATGAGTCACAAATAAGACGAAACACGCGTCATTGATTTCACTGTTAGCCATTATCCATCTCTACTTATAAAAATCTATTCAACTAATAAAGTAAAATCTATTCAATGATTCACAGGTTATATTACTTAGTAAATGCACGTGGGTTATCTTATACGTTCATTTATGTTGCCAAGAAGAATAAATAGCATATTCACATTTATTAAAATATTCAAAACATTATTTTCTCTTCGTTTAGTACATCTTTATTAAACACAAATAGTCACATTAACATGTTCATATGTTCTATGTTTAACAAACTCAGAATGAATTAACTCATATAAATGGATTTGGGTATTTGTTCTCTGAAGAAGTAGCTTACACTAAGTCACGAAACGTCAGAAAATCTAATTTTCTTTTCTACTCATTGGGATATTACACCTATATTGATATATTTATAACTTATATCAAGTTAAAATTTAGCTAAACAAAACAGTTCATAGAAATATAAGTGTTTGTGATGAGTATTTAGGACAATGTTTTACAATGAACAATAGTTAATAACAAATTGATTTTCAAACGTTTACTTCTACTCAAAATTATAGTTTACAACGATTTTATAAGCATCGATGCTAAATTTGTACTTGACTGTTTCAAATAAATTAAGCATTGGGCAGAAAGTTCTAGTGAGAAGCCGTGACTAGTAGAGCTAATTCATGTCAGGTAGAGACAGATATCTATCGCAGTTAATGGATGATGGTTGTGTAATCTCGTGGATTGGTTGAAGCTAGACATTAACGCCGTTGGATACTGGTTCAATGGTCTACAGGTTAGGTGTTTGCGTGTGATATCAAAGGTCTTTGATTCTAGTCCCTTCAGCGGGATCGTGGATGCTCACGGATGAAAAGTCTCATACTAGGACGAAACGGTCAGCCAGTGTTTCTAGGTTTTCAGTGATGGTTTAACATTGATGCATTCATGATGTCAATCAAAAATTTAACAATCTCCACAACCCCATACTGTTAAATATATATCTTTTGTTATATCCTAATGAGTTGAAAAATTGTATTGTATCAAACGTTTCGTGACTTAATGTTATTCAGAAAGGTTTTTTTCAATTATATTAAAAGTAGTGAGTAGCCTAAGCGTTTCATATAATGCTTAATTCCTCTGGCCTCAATAGGAAAGAAGGACTGACTAATCATCCAACCTGGATTATTTATCCATACAACGACATTTGACCTTATTTATTTTCCACACAATCTGCATACACACCCAATTTCAACCTCATTACTTCATATCACAAATGCACAGTTTAATACAATTGTGATGTGTGCTACTAATATCGACAGATATAAGTAGTATATAACACTAGTCAGGAATAGAATGTCTAGCAGCATAAGGTTAAAAATATCAAAGAAAATAAAACGAGAACTGTTAATGATTGCTGTGGAAATGAAGGAACAGTCAAGTTTGAGACATTTGATTGATATTTTGCAAATGATGTATTTATTGTATGATTCTCAGATTTTACTAAAAGATTCTGTAATTTTGTGCTCAAATACATTCGATTGTCTCGGCTTGTGTGCCCAATCGTTACACAGTAGCATGTCATACAAATTCATCTTGATCAAGAATAACTTAACACTGACATATTCAGGTTCAATTATAATTTTGATTTCAGCTATTTGTTTACTCCGAAGAATTGGCTTATATTTAGTCTCGAAACCACGAGGAAAATAAAGGAAAGATACAATTTTTTCTACTCATTGGGATTACACATACATAGACACACACACACACACAAAATATATATTTATTATTAATTTACAATGATGTTTCCCCTTCCCCCGCCCTTTCATTCAATGTAACATTTTAAACAGCAATAACGATCACAACAACAAAAAATAATAGTATAATCTAAGCTAAACTCTTTTAATATTAAGCCAATCTAATTCACTTGATCATTTCAAAACTCAAATTCAATTTATTCATCATTGATAATATTTGTTTGATTGCACTAAATTACATCACTCATTCTTCTTCTTCTTCTTCTTCTTCTTTTTCTTCTTTTTTTCTTTTTTTATCACAACTAGTTCATAAGTTCACTATATAATATTCTATTTGTTTACAATTTTTCATTAATATAAACAATAATTTTATTTATTTTCTAAACATCTGCTTTTACTTGTTTTTTTTCTCGTTGCTCTATTTATTTATTTATTTATCTTGCTTACGTTTCCAATCTTAAGGTTAAGAGGACAGAATAATAATAATAATAGAATACTTGTAAGTGTAAATATTCATATTGTTCGAAATTGTAATAGAGCAGTTTTCCAAGTACTTAGTAAACATCAGTATAAGATTGTCGAGATGAGTAAGTTTTTGATTGATATCATGAATGGATCAACGGTAATCCATCATTGAAAATCTGGAAACACCGGATGGTCGTTTCGTTCTAGTGTGGGATTCGTGAGTAATGGGCATCCACAATCCCGCACATAGGACTCGAACTTAGAACCATTTGCATCACACGCGAACACTTAACCTCTAGTTCAGTGAGCCGGTTTTAATGTCTCATTTCAATCAATCAATGAAATCGCACGACCATCTTCTATTGTATCCAGTGAGTAACTAACTTACAACAGACACCGTTGGATGCTAGGTCAATGGTCTACTGGTTAAGCGTTAGTGTACAAGACCAGGGGTCTTAAATTCGACTCCCTTTTCTGAGATAATGGATATCCACTGCTCATGAGTCCATTTCTTCCACATTTTCAATGTTGATCTAACGTTGATATATTCATGATATCAATCTAAACTTAGAAAATATTCTCTATATGTGTATAAATATACGCATAATTTATCGGATTATCACAATAACATGTTACGTACTTATACAAGGGAGTAGTATTATAAATGAAAATACAGTTATTTGTTGAGTTAATTAAGCATATATATATATGGGTCATAGTATTTAAATGGGAAAATGTAATTTTATACAAATTTATTATTATTATTATTGATATCAATGTGTGATCATTGAACATTATTTGTTTTATTACTTTGATTCAATTATTCACTAGTTCATTATAATACATAGCTACCTCATTATGTGTTCTAATAATCACACGTTAACCTGTCTTTATAATGCACTAAATCAAATATGATATCACATATAGAATTGGTAACATGATTACCGGTACTTATTATAATTAAATATAAATATTATCCATGTAAAATGTAGCTAGTTGGAAATACTGAAATAGATTAGTTTCATGCACAAAACTATATTAATTTACTGCAATAAAAGTAATTAAAATCATATGGGTTTTTTATGGATCTTATAGTAATTTTAGTAGTTAAGATTATGAGTCAACTGAAGCTAAACCACCATGGAGAAACTGAAGGTACTGGACTCCCAAGAAATGCACATCCACGGTTTCATCTCGTGAGATCTGAACCCAGAACCTATGCTCACTAGTGACTGGCTTCAAGAAGTATTTCCTAGAATTCTATTGAGAAACTGTGATCAGGTCTGTTGTGAAATAATAACTCACTGAAGATAAAAGTAATTATTAACACAATTCTAATTTGATCACTCATCTTCTATGATTATAAATATTATTCATGTATCCAGGTTTATTTTTTTTTGGAAAATGAACACAAATAAAGATTTTCATCTACTAACAAATGATTGATCACTGGGTGATGATCAATGTCACATGTGTTAGGTCTTTTTTTAGTGGAGATCAAATCCTATCGACTACGATTCAATCAAAGTCATATACGTTGATTCTATTTAGTTATGTTCTTGTCAATTGTTCACAAGCTGTATTACTTACATAAATGTATTTGGTTGAATTTTGATATAATCACAATAAAGAAGTCCATGGATTTATGGCACTGAATAAATCTTTCTGTTTAAAATAAATGACTTCCTCTCACTTATGTATGTATAAAAAGCACATGGTTAAATCAATATTTCTTTTCAGCTAGCTAGTGAATTTATGGTGTCACCATGTTTATAAGTATATGGTTCTTGTACGCTTTATGTATGATAAACTTCGGATATCTAAGTTGTTTATCATTAGTGTCAAATGCCAATCATTATATGTTTTGTGGGGTAACAGTGACTTGATTGAGGTGTGAGCTACTTCTATCCACATAAGTAGTATATAACGATGGTCAGACATAGAATCTATTTCCATGGAAGATCGAGAGGGAAAGAACGAGAACGAAGAGCAACTGATAAGAAAATGCATGAACAATCAAATCTGAGACGATTAACTGATATTTGTAAACGGAACAGTCAAGTTTGAGACAACTGATTGATACTTTGCAAATCATCTATTTACTGTAGGGTTCTCGGATTTTAGTGAAATGCTCTGTAATTTTGTGTGGTAATACATTCTGTTGTCCCCACTCGTGTTCTTATTCACTACAGAAAAGTCCAAAAATCTGTAATGTTTACCATGTGATTTCTTTGTTTCCACCCAAACAGTTTTATTCACAAAAAATTACTTCTGGTTAGCTTATTCGTTGATTAATTAACTAATTCATCTCACAACTGACCTGGTTGAACTCCACTGGTCACTGCTTCTCACTAGAACTCACGGATATACATCTTGAAGCCAGTCACATGTGAGATAGTAACTCCTCCTGGAGTCCCTCCGGGGGCTACTGCCGGTCCCAAGCCCGGATAAAGAAGGAGGGTTGAGCATGGGGTTAGCGTCCCCACTCCCGTAGAAAACTAACTCGCTAAAAAAACG